ATACGCTGCACCGCCCGCTCATACGCTGCACCGCACGCTCATACGCTGCACCGCACGCTCATACGCTGCACCGCCCGCTCATACGCTGCACATCACGCTCATACGCTGCACAGCACGCTCATACGCTGCGCCGCACGCTCATACGCTGCACTGCCCGCTCACACGCTGCACTGCCCGCTCATAAGCTGCCCCGCCCGCTCATACGCTGCTCCGCCCGCTCATACGCTGCCCCGCCCGCTCATTCGCTGCACAGCCCGCTCATACGTTGCACAGCCCGCTCATACGCTGCACCGCCCGCTCATACGCTGCACCGCACGCTCATACGCTGCACCGCACGCTCATACGCTGCACCGCCCGCTCATACGCAGCACCGCCCGCTCATACGCTGCACCGCCCGCTCATACGCTGCACCGCCCGCTCATACGCTGCACCGCCCGCTCATACGCTGCACCGCCCGCTCATATGCTGCACCGCCCGCTCATACGCTGCACCGCCCGCTCACACGCTGCACCGCCCGCTCGTACGCTGCACCGCCCGCTCATACGCTGCACCGCCCGCTCATACGCTGCACTGCCCGCTCATATGCTGCACCGCCCGCTCCGCTCATACGCTGCACCGCCCGCTCATACGCTGCACCGCCCGCTCATACGCTGCACCGCCCGCTCATACGCTGCACCGCCCGCTCATACGCTGCACCGCCCGCTCATACGCTGCACCGCCCGCTCACACGCTGCACCGCCCGCTCATACGCTGCACCGCCCGCTCACACGCTGCACCGCCCGCTCATACGCTGCACCGCCCGCTCATACGCTGCACCGCCCGCTCATACGCTGCACCGCCCGCTCATACACTGCACTGCCCGGTCATACGCTGCACTGCCCGCTCATACGCTGCCCCGCCCGCTCATACGCTGCACTGCCCGCTCATACGTTGCACCGCCCGCTCATACGCTGCACTGCCCGCTCATACGCTGCACCGCCCGCTCATACGCTGCACGGCCCGCTCATACGCTGCACGGCCCGCTCATACGCTGCACCGCCCGCTCATACGCTGCACCGCACGCTCATACGCTGCACATCACGCTCATACGCTGCACAGCACGCTCATACGCTGCGCCGCACGCTCATACGCTGCACCGCCCGCTTATACGCTGCACCGCCCGCTCATACGCTGCTCCGCACGCTCATACGCTGCACCGCACGCTCATACGCTGCACCGCACGCTCATACGCTGCACCGCCCGCTCATACACTGCACCGCACGCTCATACACTGCACCGCTCGCTCATACACTGCATGGCAAGACACGACACAGGGCTACTGAAACTTGCAATGCAACCTACCTGGATGAAGTAGGAGAGCGAGGTGCCCTGCCCCTTGACCACGTTCTGCAGATGCTGTTTGAGTGAGTCACAATACCAATGATTAACACAATGCATGAGAACACAAGGCACGGCTCGTGGGTGGCAACTCACCCAGATGAAGAAGGAGAGGGAGGTGCCCTGCCCCTTCACCACGTTCTGAACCACCACGAAGAGGAGATTACACGAGAGATGAAACCGTTCAACGGTATGTGGTGCAGGTGAGAGGGGCAGGAGGGGGGGGGACACTAATTTGCGGGCGAATTTCGAGTCGACCAAAAAAAGGCACATCAGTTTCAGGGTTAAACACCACCACACTTATCTAACACTTACAAAGCACACGTACATAAGCAACACTTAACAGTGTACATAAGCTTGGATACCTAACATTATACAAACACATAAGCTCACCTAGACACGCGAGCTTGTATTGTAAATGTTCTCCCGGCTGAAGCGGCTCAAGAGTGACGAGGATGTGGTTGTGCGAGTTGATGGCCACGTTCAGCGTGACGGCCTGTGTCAGCAGCACCAGTGCGTGCAGCGCCCACCCAGAAAGCACCTGCTACAGCATTCGACACTCACCTAGGCATGCGAGCTTGTGGATGTTCTCCCGGCTGAAGCGCTTGAACACGTTCGACTTCACTTCCGCAAAGTTGTTGGAAACGAGAAGAGTCACAAGGATGTGGTTGTGCGAGTTTATTGCCACGTTGAGTGTGACGGCCTGGGTCAGCAGCACCAGCGCGTGCAGCAGGACGCATGCCACTGCTATCGCTTCATCAATTATGAACCGCAGCGCTTCTGTTGGCAGGGATGCAGTGGCAGGCACTGATGACCCGGCTGTTCCTGTTCCTCCTCCTGCTGCAGTTGCTGCTCCTGTTCCCCCTCCCCCTCCTCCTGCTGCCGCTGCTCCTGCTCCTGTTGTTCCTGCTGCTCCTGCTGATGACCCGACTGTAGCAGCGGCGGCCACACGAGCCGCTGTGTTGAGAGTCATCTGTAGCACGTCGCACCCCAGGCTCTGGCATAGCTTGTCCATCACCTGGGATGGGGTGGGGTGGGGTGGTGTGGAGTGAGGTTGGGTGGGGTTGGGTAGCACGTCGCAGCCCAAGCTCTGGCATAACTTGTCCATCACCTGGGGGAGGAGGGAACAGAGGTATGGCGGGGTGGGATGGGGTGGAGTTGGGTTGGGCGCGTGAGCAATGCACGTTGCAGCCCAGGCTCTGGCATAGCTTCTCCATCATTTGAACGTTCACGCGCACCATGTGTGGCTGTGGCGTGCTGTGCCTTGAGTCGTGCTGGTTATTACTTAAAACCTCATGATGCCTCCCTGCCCGCCACCAGGACTTGAGGGAGGGCACGGGACCAACACCTCAACCAGGCGACCTCGTTGTCGTGAGTGCGCCTCTGAGTTTCTGTGCTTGTCGTGAGTGCGCCTCTGAGTTTCTGTGCTTGTCGTGAGTGCGCCTCTGAGTTTCTGTGCTTGTCGTGAGTGCGCCTCTGAGTTTCTGTGCTTGTCGTGAGTGCGCCTCTGAGTTTCTGTGCTTGTCGTGAGTGCGCCTCTGAGTTTCTGTGCTTGTCGTGAGTGCGCCTCTGAGTTTCTGTGCTTGTCGTGAGTGCGCCTCTGAGTTTCTGTGCTTGTCGTGAGTGCGCCTCTGAGTTTCTGTGCTTGTCGTGAGTGCGCCTCTGAGTTTCTGTGCTTGTCGTGAGTGCGCCTCTGAGTTTCTGTGCTTGTCGTGAGTGCGCCTCTGAGTTTCTGTGCTTGTCGTGAGTGCGCCTCTGAGTTTCTGTGCTTGTCGTGAGTGCGCCTCTGAGTTTCTGTGCTTGTCGTGAGTGCGCCTCTGAGTTTCTGTGCTTGTCGTGAGTGCGCCTCTGAGTTTCTGTGCTTGTCGTGAGTGCGCCTCTGAGTTTCTGTGCTTGTCGTGAGTGCGCCTCTGAGTTTCTGTGCTTGTCGTGAGTGCGCCTCTGAGTTTCTGTGCTTGTCGTGAGTGCGCCTCTGAGTTTCTGTGCTTGTCGTGAGTGCGCCTCTGAGTTTCTGTGCTTGTCTTGTCTTGTGTGCTTTCCATGCCACTTGTCCTGCCATACTTGCCGTGCCATATGACATGCCACGCCTTGCCAAGCCATTGCCCCTCCCCACCCTGTGCCCCGCACCCCACTCTGCGCTCCCCCCCTCCCCCATGCAGGTGGACTGGGCGGGGTTCACGATAGGGTACTATGGGCGCATCTTTGAGGCGCGCAACAAGGCCAAGGGCGGCTCCTTCGAGGTGCGTAAAACAAGCAGGGGGGTGGGGGAGGAGGGCAGGTAGGGCGGGCGAGGGTAGTTGGAGTGCGTGAGGGCGAGGTTCTGCCACGGCTTGTCACAGGCGCGCTTCTCAGTGAAAGAGCCACACTCTCCTCTGGCTCATCCTTTCTCTCCTCCCTGCTGTGCCCGCCCCATGTGTGTGTGGTGGGTGCAGGGCAACGAGAAGGACTTCTTCCGCTACCGCGTCGGCCAAGGGGAGGTGCGTCCATTCCATGCCTCCGCTACTCCTTCGCCCCCTTGCTGCCACCCCCTTACCCCGCCTGCTGCTGCCACTGTGTCTGCTGTGCTCGCAGTTGCCAATTTCCGTGTCTCCGCCATGATGTGCCATCAAACACATGCACTCGCATTCTTCTCACTCCATGCTCCAACTCACGCTGGCAGGTCATCCCGGCGTTTGAGGAGGCCGTGGCGTCCATGAAGCTGGGGGGAGTGAGGAGGTGAGGAGGGGGATGGGGGGGTGGTTGAATGCGGGTGTTCGGTAAGGGGGCTGCATTGATTCAGTGCCATCCACGCAGTATGGAGTGCATGCAGCATGCATGGTGCCATGGACCGGATGTACGCTCAACAATAATACGCTCTTCTCCACATGACATGCCTCCCCTTGCCGTGCCTTATCTGCTGTGCACCAATGACTCGGCACGCTGCATGCACCAGGATCGTTGTGCCTCCGGAGATAGGCTATCCCGACAACAGCTTCAACAAGCAAGGACCCAAACCCACCACGTTCTCCGTCAGTGCCCTCTGCCACACACACCCACTGCACCCACACACACTGCACCTTTCCTTGCAACAGTCCTCACTCTCACTCGTTCCTGCTGTTTCCATCTTGTTTTCGCCCACCTAGATTCACTCTGCCATTGTTCTCCTGTGCATTGCTGTCTACTGCCAGGGCCAACGGGCGTTGGACTTTGTGCTCAAGAACCAGGGGCTCATCGACAAGACGCTTCTCTTTGACATTGAGCTGCTCAAGATCGTTCCCACCTAGCACCCCCCCTGGGTAGACTCGTTCTGTCACCACCTCCCCTCCTAGCACCCCCCTCCCCCAGTTACCGTATAACCATTCCCGATGAGCTCATTTCTCGACGTTTCTGCCATCCATCGAGGCCTGAGCACGTTATGGCCCAAATGGTCGTTGACTTGTTGTATGGAGTAATGTATTTACAGCCGTTGCTGCCGGTTGAATAAGATGAGAACACCGGCAGGTCTAGGAGCATTACCAGCTCAAACATTGTTGTGCGTGCAGTGCGCATGCGCTCCCTTGATGTTTCACATTCGCGGCTAAGGGTTCTATTCGGAAGAACAAAGGGGACAAGTGAAGTGAAACCATGCAAGGTGTGATGTTGCATCATAAGATGGTCACAAGAGGGGACAATCGTGCCGTGGCAAGCACAGCATCAACCACAGCAGTCCATCCCTCCCCTCTCGCATCTAGATGCACCACCCGCCACTCCCCCTCCTCCTCTTCCTCCTCCCAATCATCCTGCTCCTCCCACTCCTCTCCATCCTCCTCCCCCAACCTGTCACCCTCCCTTCCCCCGTCCCCACCTGTCGTTTTCTCCCCAGACTCTGCCCTCCCCTCTGCTGCCCCTCCAGCCGCCCCTGCTGCTGGCTGCCCCCCCTGGAGCACATCGGGTTCGTCTGTGCCGCCCAGAGGATTCAGAGCGGGCGGCAGGAGGGAGATGGAGAGGTGGAGGCGGTGGGCGGGCAGCAGAGGGAGGAGGGGCTGTGGCCACTCGATCAGACACAGCCCTGACGGGGGGGAGAGAAGGTGAAGAGGGAGAAGGGAAGGGGAGAGTTAGGGGGATGAAAGAGGAAGTAGGGAAAGGGAATGCGGTGAGGGAGGATGAGATGAGGGAAGGTGGAGTGTGCGAGGTGCTGCAAATCGAGGGGTTGAGAGAGGGGACAAGTCGGAGGGTGGGGGAGCACGGGGAGAGGATGAGAGGTGGCGTGAGGTGCGCACCGGAAGGGCAGGAGGGGCGAGGAGAGCGGTGGTCGTACCAGTAGCAAGCGAGTGTGCGAGGTCCAGGCGCTGAATGTCAGGCGCTGCTGCTGCTGCTGCTGCCATGGGCGTGGCGGTGTGCAGGGCACCCAGGCGGTATGCATCATAGTGATGCACTGTGCTGGTGGGGGGGGGTGGGTGAGGGGGAAGGAGGGAATGCGCAAGAGGGAAAGGGGGAGGGGGAGGGGGTTGCGATGAGTCGTGGAAGCAGGGGTGAGGCGGGTGTGGGAGCAGGGGTGAGGCGGGCGTGGGAGCAGGGCACTAGGGGCAGTGGAGGAGGGGAAAGGAAGTCAGAGGGAATGGGGAATGGAGAATGGAGAATGGGGACATGGGGCTAAGGCAATGGGGAGCGGCAAGGGGCAGACGACGAGGGCAGTGGGGCGTACAGGGCGGGCGCGGGGTAGGAGTTGAGCAGCAGGAAGGTGGGCGAGGTGACGATGAGGTGCGGGTCGCCTGTCAGAGCACGAATGAAATGCCGGCTGTGAGGGGTTGGGGGTCAAGGCGGGCGGGAGGGAGCGAGTGGGTGTTGGGAAAGAGGGGGGGCACATGGGGAAGCACCCATGCAGGACGCACGGCAGCATGGCCCGCCAGATGCAGGTTAGTGGACGAAACACAGCACTCACTAATCCCACAGCAGGGTTTCGCAAGGCAGGCAGGTGCGCAGGAGGAGCAGGCAGAGTTTTATTTGTGCTCTCACGTGCCCCTGCATTGGTGACACCCCATCCAACCCAATACAACCTTCTCATCTCTCCTGCCCTTCCCGTTCCGGTATCTCCGCCTCCCCCCTCTCTTCTTCCCCCTCCCCACCCAAGGCGCACCAGAAAGTGGTCTTCCCCGCGCCCACATCCCCCTGCAGGCACACCACGTCCCCCACCCCCACTGCCCCGCTGATCCGCTCCCCCGATCCGCGCGCCTCGCCGCTCCGCCCCCCCTCACCCTCTCCGCCGATTCTTTCCGCTAGCTCTCGCGCCAGCCAGGCCAACGCGCTCTCCGTCCTGCAAAGGACACGTGGCACTGCGTCATTGGCTAGCGGCAATAACTGCGACCCTGGAGATTGTCCGGACTCGTCGGAATTCGCGTCTATTCCCGCTGAAACTACTCGGCCGGCAGGACTACCGGGCAACCGACCGCTGCTGGCTAGTGTGAAGATTCGTTGACGGAACGCGCGAGAAGTCCGGCGGCAATCGCGGCGAGAGGAGGGCGCGATTTGGAGGAGTGACGAAAGGGAGTGCGGGCGGCAGGTGTGACTGTGGGAGACGTGATCATAGGCGCGAGGTAAAAGCGCCCGGAGAAGCGCCGATGGCGGGCGGGCGCGTTGGGCGATTGAAGTCCGTAATCCAGTAGCTAGTTGCATGCTGGAGAGTGTGCGTGGGGTTGCACGTTGTTCGCTCTGCGACTGTTGCTCCAGTACCAGCGGCGTACAGTACACACATGAACTCTTGTTTATCGTGCCGTGTCTTGTGGTTGCGAATTGCACTGCTGAATGTGCCGTACTGCACCGCATTGAACCTGTGATACCCGTGCGGGTTTTCCCTCCACTCCATTCACAGCACAAATTCGCCCCTCTTCGTTCGACCCCCCAGATCACCCAGGCGCGCTTCATTCATTCCAATCCTACTTGCCCGCAGCACCGCAGCGATGGGCGGCGGCGCGGAGGCGAGCGAGCAGGCGCGCGGGCAGCAGCGACCCACGATATCGATCGCGGTGCCGGGGTCCATCATCGACAACACGCAGTCGCTCGAACGCGCCACCGCCGTGCGCCTCCCGCCCCGCCCTTCCCCGCGCATTTCGCTCCTTCCCCCGCATGCCGTTTATCTTCCGCGCATTCCGCTCCATCCCCGCATTATTCCGCCTTCCGTGCCACTAAGATCGCGCTTTAACCGCTGCATCACGTTAACCCCGCAATAAACCCTCAACCGTCGTCGCCACACGCGCAAGAGAAGGCGCTTTAACACATCCTCCCAAATTTGCGGAATCGGGACGCCTTTCTAGTCGCCAAATCATCTAATCTTTTATCGTTATCGCCTCATTCCCTAAACCTCGGCGCAGGTAGCGGGGCAAATCGCGCGCGCCGCCGTCATTTTCAAGGTGCATGAGATCGTCGTGTACGACGACTGGGACGCGGAGGGCGACTCGAGCGCGCCGCGCGGGTGGCGCGGGGAGCGCTTCTCGGGGTCCGCGGGGTCGTTCCTTGCGCGCGTGCTCCAGTACCTCGACACCCCGCAGTACCTCCGCCGCGCGCTCATCCCGCTCACGCCCGATCTGCGCCTCGCGGGGCTGCTTCCGCCGCTGGACGCGCCGCACCACGCGCGCATGCACGAGTGGCCGGAGTTCCGCGAGGGCGTGGTGGTGGCGGAGGGGGAGGGGGAAGAGGCGCGCACAGTGGGTAGCTGCGCCGTGGATGTGGGGCTGCAGCAGGTGGGGGCGGGGGGAAGGGGAATTTGGGAAGTGGGGAAAGGGGAGGGGAGGGAAATCTGGAGAGCTGCCATTAAGAATATATGAGGGTAGAAAAATGTGTTCTCTTGAACTTATGGCCCATTGTCCTGCCCTCTCCCACCCATCCCGCTTCCCCCTTCCCCTCATTCACACGCACACTCCCTTTCATCCATCCATCCACGTGCATGTGTGGCAGAGGGTGCGTGTGCGAGGAAGCTTCTCGGAAGGCACGCGATTGACAGTGGCCATGGGGCCAGCAGCGGAGCGAGAGAAGGTGTTTCAACCAGGTGGGGGAGGGAAGGGGGGGTGCAGTGGAGGGGGGAAGAGGGGGAGGTGAAGGTTGGGATGTGTTTAGCAGAGCACATTAGAGAGTGGCTCCTACCCGCCATCCTTGCTCCTCCCCACTTCTCTCCGCGCCTCACTCACTCTATCCATCTATCCCTCCCCCCCCCCCCTCGTCCACCCACCCAGGAGTGCTGCTGACGCCCGTGGCCCCGCATGTGCCGTGGGGGGAGAGGGGGCAGTACTGGGGGTACACTGTCCGCCTTGCCAGGGGCGTCTCTGGCGCCCTCTCCGCCTGCCCCTTCTCCCCCGCGCCTGCCTCCGCGGATGGGGGAGCAGGGGGCGCGGGGGACGGGGGAAAAGGGGCGGGGGAGGGGCGCAGCTCTGATGCTGCTGTGGTGGGGGGAAGTGGGGGTGCGGGGGAGGGGGATGGGGCGGAGGGGGGGGAGGGGAGGGAGGGCGGGGGAGACGGAGGGGAGGAGGGTGAGGAGGGGCGGGGGAAGAAGAGGAGGCGGCGAGGGGGGAGGAAGAGAGGGGCGAAGCGGGGGTTGTATGGGGAGGGGGGTGGGGGTGAGGGTGGGCAGGGAGGGGGTGGAGGGGGAGCGGAGGGCGGAGGAGCAGGGGGAGAAGCAGGAGGCGCGTACGATCTGATCGTAGGGACATCGGAGCACGGCGATGTGAAGGAGATCGGGCAGTTCAAACTGCCCCCCTTCCGGTGCGCCCTCCCCACTGCCCCTCTGAGCCCCTTTCTCCCCACACAATCGCCAACAGTCGCCTCTTCATGTCCCTCCATCCCATCTCTTCTTCCTCCTCCCCATCCCACCCCTCCCTCTCGCTGAGAGGGGGAGCAGGGGAACAGGCACCTGTTCATGTCTTCCTACCACGTCTCTCCGTCCTTCCCTCTCTCTCCCCTGCTCACAGGCACTTGCTGGTGGTGTTTGGCGGCGTGGCGGGGTTGGAGGAGGCGTGTGAGGGCGACGAGGGGCTGGGGGCGGACAGCAGGGACCCCAGGCACCTGTGCCAGCTGTACCTCAACACGTGCCCCGCCCAGGGCTCGCGCACCATCCGCACTGAGGTGCGCTCTTGAGAAGGGTGGGGGGAGGAGGGGCGGTTGAAGGGGGTAGGAGATGCGGGAAAGGGGAGAGTTGGGGGTTGAGAGGGGCAGCTGTGCCAGCTGTACCTCAACACGTGCCCCAGCCAGAGCTTGCGCACCGTTCGCACTGAGGTGCGCTGTTGAGGGGGGTTGGAATGGTGCAGTTTGGGGAATGGATGGGGGAGTGGAGGAGGGTTGGGGTGTGAGGCGAGGCGGGGGCGATGTGGGGGTTGTTGGGCAAGGGGGAGTTGCGGGGTGAAGTGAGAGGGCTGGCCTTGTGTTGCATGAGTGCATGGATTGGGCAAGCGTGCTGCATGTGTTCGTTGCGGTGCAATGCGGTGCACACTCAGAATTGTTGCTGTGGTGAAGGCTTTCACTGTCTGCTCTGCATGCTCTATGCCCCTTCCCATACCATGCCCTGCCATGCCCCTCCCCCGTTTTTCCCTCTCGAATGCATGCAGGAGGCGGTGCTGATATCACTGGCGTACATCTCAGCACTCATGCCGTGACCACCACCACCACCACCACCCTGTGCTGTGCACCCATCACACATCTCCTCTCTTCGGCGCATCATCACCCAGCTCGCCCCTGCACGCCTCATGACCCTCTGCCCTGCCTTCATGCCGTTGCACCCGCTGGGTGCTTTATTGTGCCTGTGGTGGCAATTGTGTTAATATATATGGGCCTAGCAACAACCTACTGTAGCTGCACTAATTGGTGATTGGGCCAGATTGATGTGGCCATCACCATCACCACCACCCACTCTCGTACCTACCCACATGGTACCCCTAGGGGGCTCAGCTGCCAGATTCTACAGGCTTATACACGCCAGATTCTACAGGCTTATACACGCCAGATTCTACAGGCTTATACATGACGTCCTGCTTTTCATCTCTTTGTTGGCCTAGAGCTACCGTACCCTGTAGAGTTGCCGCTCTGCAGCCATTCTACTGCCCTTTCCCTATACTGCTGTGCCTGGCACATTCTAGAGCTAGTACAGTATATATCGAGGTGGCGACAGCAGGGCCCCATGTGTCCGATGGGAGTGTGGTCATTGCTGCACTCCCGGTCTTGACCCCGACCTCATTACTTCTTTTGGATGACTTGCCAGTGCAGCACCTAACTGCTCTGCACCCTACAGGGAGTGTGCTCTGGCTTTAGTTTGCCAGCTCTGAAGCTATAGGCCACAGTCTACTGCTTTGATAGGCAGGGCGGCTGGGAGCGCTGTTCCCTGTTGAGCGGGCCTCCTGGTGACCACCCTGTGCTGTTGGCAGGGCAGGCACCTTCACGTCCCTGCGCTGTTGGCCCCATCAGGCCCCTCACCTCACACACGCAGCATTGTGCGTGCTGCTGTGGCACATGCCCAACTCCATCCTCTGCCCAACCTCCACACATGCTACGCATGCATCCTAGTCCCTGCATCACATCAGCCTATGCCTACTCACAGCTATGCACAGCACATGCCTAACACTACACATGCAGCAGCTTTTACGAGTAGTGCACACGCCGAGTCGCAAACATGCATGTGTCCAGTCAAACAAAGTCAAGCAAGTCAACAGTCAGTCAAGGTCGATCCACAGAGCATCCAGGCACAAGAAACAGAGTGCTAGCACGTCGCAGGGTGTTGGATGCCTGAGGGAGGATGCCGCTAGGTGCTGGAGGGTGCAGAATGGCACAAGTGAGAAACAGGGTTGACACGCAACTGGAAGGGCCCTTGGGCAGCTATGCCAGCAGAGGGCCTGCAAGCCCTCACGGCCTGCACTGCAGCTGGCACAGCATCCCAGTAACACATGCCAGCACACACATACAGCATCGTAGCCTCCCTTCCCTCCACCACGTCCCTGTGAGTCCACTCACACTTGGCCTCCCCACACGCCTCAACAGCGCACTCCGCATCCCAGCGTGTCTGCACCACGCGCCACCCGCGTGAGCCGCTACGATGCTCCGCCAAAGTGCCTGCCGGGGGCATGTGCACGCGCTGCAATGCAACGGTGCACAGGGACCCGCCCACAGCTATGATGCTCCGCTCCGCCACCGGTGCACGCACAGGGACATGTGGGGCGCACAGGGGGCATGCCCTCACACTCCCCCACACCACCACCACCACCCAGCCCCGCCTCGTGCCTCACCACCACTGCCACCACCCCTCCTCCACCCTCCCCTCTCCCCTAGCTTTCCCTTATCCCCCTCTCACCCGTCCTGGCACATCTGCGACTCCTGCACGTGGCATGCCCCTAGCTCCCCCAACACCGCCCCACCCCACCCCATCCCTTGCCCTCACCCTCACGCCCACCGCCTCTTGCGTGCGGGCCGCTCCGTCTTGCCTTCCCCTCCTCCCGCCCCTTCCCCCTCCGCCCTGCCACCTGCCCCCCCACTTGCCATGCTGCCCGCCTCTCCCCCCATCCCCACTCCCCCCCCTCCCTCGCTCGCCCCCTCCCTGTCACCGCGCCTGTCCCCACCGTCATCTGACTTGCGCTTCCTCCCCCCTGCACCACTCGCCCCGCCATATGCGCCCGCACCACCCTCCTCCCCCCCACTCGCCCTGCGACCATCCCCTCCCCCGCCCCCTCCCCCCACGTGCACCACTAAGTGGCCCTGACTCTCCCGCCACACCCCCCCTCCCCGCCTGTCCGCCGCCCCGTCCCCCCCTCGCCCCCCCACCTGCACCACCAAATGCCCGTCAGTGCGCTGCACCGCACTGCGCCGCACACCACCGCCACCAACACCTGAAGCAGCAGCAGTGTCAGCAGCAGCAGGGGAGGGCGAGTGAGGGGCACCACCAGCCCGCCTGCCATCCTCTGCAGCACCCATGCCCCGGTGTGCGTGCCTCTCGCCCCTCTCCCCTTCTCCTGCCTCCCCTCCGCGCCTCCTCTCCCCTCCCACCTCGCCCAATCCGTCAGACCCGCCGCCCCTCTCCTTGCCTCGCTCCTTCCCCCTCTCCTTCTCATCCCTCCCCCGCCCGCGCTCGCGGCTCCGCTCCTCCCGCTCGTCGCCCTCCCAGTCCCGTACGTCCTTGTCCCGGCCGCGCCCACCACGCCCCTTCTCCTTCTCCTCGCGCAGCTTGGCCCGCAGGTCAACCACCGGCCCGTCCTTGCCTGCACCCTCGCTCCCCACCCCCTCTCGCCCCATACCCTCTCGCCCTGCCCCCTCACCACCTCTCCAACCCTCCCTCTCACCTCGCCTCCCCTCCTTGTCTCCCTTCATCCCCGCCCTCTCCTCCCCCCTCCCTGCCACCTCCCTATCACGCTCCTCACCCACACTTGCTCCCCGCTCCCTTCCCCTCTCCCATTCCCTCTCTTTCTCGCCTCTTTCTTTCTCCCCGCCTTTCTCCCTTCCCCTCTGCTTATGCCTATCCCTGCCTCTCCCCTCCTCGCTAACCCTCTCCATTCCTCCCTCCCTCTCCTCCCTCTCTCGCCCCCCCCTCTCCCCCTTATCTCCTCTCCCGCTCCTCTCACCCTTGTCAACCTTCTCACTCTTCTCATCCTTCTCCCTCCGCTCACCTCTCTCCCTCCTCTCACCCCTCTCGTCCTTCACCCCTCTCCGCGCACTCCTCTCTGACTCCGGACCCACACTCCCCCCACGCTCCTCCTTCAATCCCCTATCCTTGTCCCTCTCATCCTTCCACTTCTCCTTCACCCTCTCACCCCTCTCACCCCTCTCACCTCTCTCCTCCCGCTCCTCCCTCCACGCCCCCCTCCTCTCCCCTCCCTCCCTATCTCTATCCTCCCTCTCTCCCACTCCCACCCCACCCTCCCTCGCCCCCTCCTGCCTCCGACCCAGCACCTCCCCTCCCCTCCTGCCAAATCCCCCACCGTCCACTCCCATCCTGCCAAGTGGCGCATCCACAGCCACTCGCCCATAGCCCATGGGAGGGCCATGCCCATACTCCTCCCTTCCAACCCCACCGCCTGCCATCATCCTCCCGCCCTTCACCATGCCACCTCCCCCACTCCCACCCGGACCCATGACCACCCCCATACCTGGCCCCATACTCATGCCCATTCCCATGGCCATACCCATCCCCATGCCCATGCCCATATCCCTCGGCCCCATGCGGCCCCCCATCCATCGCCCTCGCCCATGCCGCCCGTGCCGCCCCCCATACGCATGTCCAGCTGCATGGGCATGCATGTGCCCAGGACCCATAGGCCCCCCTCGCCCGCCCCTGCCCCGGCCTCCGCCGTACCTCCCGCCTTCATGGAACCTTCCTTCGTGCTGCTGATGCGGGGCATGGGGGGGAGAGCGCCTGCCTGCGCCAGTGGCAGCAGCAGCAGCATCGAGACCTTCATCGCCCTCACCACCCCTCTCTCGCGTCCATTTACCCCTCTGCCTCTCCCTGCCCTCCCTGCCCCCCTCATCCCCCTCCTCCTGCTCCTCCTCTTCCTCCTCATACACGTCACCATAGTCCTCCCCTTCAAATGCCAGCTCATCATCATACTCTTCCTCCTCCTCTCCGCCTCCCGCTGCCGCTTCCTCCCTTCCCCTCTCCCCACTTTTTTGCTCCTCTCGCTCGTCTCCCTCACCATTCTCTCTGCTTCCTGCGCCTCCCTCCCCCTCCTCCCCTCCCCTGTCACCCTCCTCCCCACCTTTCCCTCTCTCCCTTCTCTCCCCGCCCCCACCACCTCGATCCCCCTCCCTCGCTCCTCCTTCTCCCAGCTGCTCCCCGTGCTTCCTCCTCTCCTTCTCTCCCCCCTCCTCCGTGCCAGCTGGCACTGCCACGTCATCATCGTCAATGTCAACAGTCTGACGTCAGGGAGAAGGGAGTGAGGAGGGCGGAGATGGGGGGGAGAGGATGGGCGAAGGGGAGAGAGGGGGGAGAGGGGAGGTGAGGGTGTGGGGAAAGGCGATGAGAAGGAGAGTGGGTCAGGTTTGATCGGGCAATGCAGCATCGGGGCAAAGGGGTGAAAGGGCGGAGGAGTGAAGGGGCAAAGGGGCAAAGGGGCAAAGGGGCAAAGGGGCAAAGGGGCAAAGGGGCAAAGGGGCAAAGGGGCAAAGGGGCAAAGGGGTGACGACATGACATGATGGTGAGGTCACGAGGCGACGGAGTGATGGGGGGTGCGTGGAGGCACGGACTTACTGGGGTGGGAGGGCGCTCAATGGCTGTGTTGCCACGCCCCTCCTCCTCTGCCTCTCTTGCTGCTACCTCCTCCCCCTCCCGCCCCTTCCTCCCCTTTTTCTCGTGTTTTCTGCCCTTCTCTTGCTCATTCTCCCGTTCTCTCCCCCTCTCCTTCCGCCACACGTCATCCCCCCTGCCCTCCCTCTCGCCCTCCCCATTGCTGTGGCCATCATCTCGGCCCTCTCCCTTCCTCCCACCCCTCTCATCCCTCCCACCCCTCTCACCCGGTCCATCCCCCCCATCCTCCCCACCTCCGCCATCCGCCGCATCCCCCCCACCGCTCTCCAGGGGGTGCATCCCCACATCCCCCTCGCCATCAGCGTCCCACATGCTGCCATAGTCCACCGCGTCTCCCCCCGCATCCTCCTCCTCCTCCTCGTCCTGCTCCCCCTCTCCCCACTCCCGTTCCTTACCCTCTCTACCCTCCTCTTCCCCTCCCTCCTCTCCATCTTTCTCCTTTCTCTCGCTCTGCTCTCGACCCTCCCTCCCATCCTCCTCACCCCCTTCCTTCTCTTCCCGCTTCTCCCGCCGCCCCCTCCTCCTCTCGCCCTCACCTCCTTCCTCCCTCTCTGCCGCAACCCCCTTCCCCTTACCTCTCCCTGCGCCCTTCCCCTCTCCTCTCTCTGCTGCCCTCTCCTCTGCCCTGCCCTCTCCCCTCTGCGCGCCCCTCGCCCCTGCACTCTCCAGCTCCTCCCCTCCTTCACTCGAGCCACCTCTCCTCCGCCTGCTTCCGCCCTCCCTCCGCCCTTCCCTGCCCCCAGACGCCCAACTCCCTTCCCCATCCGCCTCCCCTCCGCCCCTCGCCTCCTCCATCCCTCCCTTCCCTCGCTTCTCCTTCATGCCCCTCCCCCTCGCGCCCTCCTCATGCCTCCCCTCCGCCCACCCCTCCTCTCCTTCACTCTCCCTATCCTCCCTCCACTGCCTCCCCTCCCGCCCATCCCTCTTCCCTCTCTTCCCCACATGCTCCTCCCCCCTGCCCACATTTTCCTCCCATCCGCGCTCATCCCACTCCTCCCGTCCCCCCCGCCTGCCCTTCTTCCCCTCCTCCTCTCCCCGCCGCCCCCCCCGCCGTTCCACAGACGCGCCTCTCTCTCCCCACCCATCCCACTCCTCCCTCTCCTCCTCCCACTCGCCCCCTCCGCGCATTCCCTTGGCACGCCCAAACTCCCCTCCCTTGTCGTCCTCTCCCCTCCGCCCCACGCCCCGCCTCCGCTTCTCATCGCCCCCTCTCTCTTCGGGCCATTCCCTCTTCTCCCGCCTCCCCTCTTTCCCCTCCCCAAACTCCCCCCCCCGCTTGTCAAACCCTGATACTCTGCCCCCCTCACCCCCCTCGCGCCCCTCCCTCCGCCACCCCACTTCCCCTGCCCTCCGCCCCTCCTCCTCCCCCCTGTATCGCCCCCGCCTCTCCTCCCCCCGTTCCCTTCCCCCCATAGGCCCCTCTCCAAACCCCCCTTCCTCCCTCCCCATGCCCCTTCCCCGCCGGCCATACCCCTCCCCTTCTCCTCCCCTTCCGCCCCTCCGGTCCCTCTCCCCCCACAGGCCCCCCTTCTCCCTCCCCCATTCCCTCTCCCCCCTGCCGTCCCTCCCCCTCCATTCCCCCCGCCGTCCCCTCTCCTCCTCCCACTCTTCATCCGCTTCCTCATGCCCCTCCTCCCCCCGCACTCTCCTCCTCTTCCTTTCCTTGCCCCCATACTCGTCCCAACCTCGCCCTTTCCCGCCCTCTCTCCCTCTCCCCTTTTCCATCTCTTCCTCCTCCTCCCACTCTCTCTGCCCCCTCCTCCTATCCTCTCTCCTCCTCCCCATGCCCTCATCCTCCCCAACCCCCTCCTCATCCTCCTCCTCCATATCCCCCCGGCCCCCTCGCCCCCTCCCCTGGCGCCTAGACTTTGCCCCTGCGCGCCCCTCCCCTTCCCCCATGCTCTCCCCCCCAGTCGCATAGCTGGCAGCATGGGAGGGGGAAAGGGGCGTTCGGTGCATGCCCATCCCCCCGGAAAAGCCCCCTCCGCCCCCCATATCGAATCCTCCCCGCCTGCCGCCTCCCCCCATGGGTCCCCCTGCGCCCCCCATCCCTCCCCCCATACCTCCCCCCATACCTCCCCCCATGCCTCCGCCCATGCCTCCGCCCATGGGTCCGCCCATGGGGCCAGCGCCCCCAGGGGGGCCGCGGAGGAACATGGGGTGCGCATGGGGGGGCAGCATGTGCGGGGGGAGCATTCCCCCCTTCATGCCCATGGGCGGACTGGGCCTGGCGGAGGAGGGAGGGGATGGGGGGTGTAAACGGGGGGAGCAAGGGTGGAGTGAGCGGGTGAACGGAGGGGGATGGGGGAGGGCGTAGGGGACAGTGAAGCAAAGTGGGGGAGGGGAAGGGGAATGGTAGGGTGCAGGGAGAGGGGTCAGAAGGGCATGTGGGGAGACAGTGGCATGGGGAGAGGATGGGATCTGCGGGGGGATGGGGACATGTGGGGAGACAACATGACCTACACTAGATATGACATGCGCAGCACACCACACCACATCACACCACTCCACACCACACCACTCTCGCCACCTTACAAGACATGGCCTGCCGCCCCTATCATACCGGTTCACATCATCACCCCTCACCACCGTACACTCTCGCCCCAACAACACACACGCGTGCTCACCTCATCATGTGCCCTCCGCCTGGTCCCATGCCTCGCCCCCTGCCTCCGCCCTCCATGCCAAACCCCCCCACTCCTCCCCGCGCCATGCCCATGCCTCTCCCCCCCATGCCCATCCCCGCCCCCATCCCTGGCCCCATGCCCGCGCCCATGCCCATGCCATCGGGTCCCCCTGGGAACATGGGGGGGAACTGGGGATGCTGTCCGCGGGGGAGAGGGGGAGGTGGGGGGAGGGCACCAGGCGGTCCCCCTGTGCCTCCGCCCCCTGCTCCGCCTGCCACTGCGCCAGATGCGCCCTCCACAGAGGCAGCACGGGAGGGCGGGCCAGCAGCAGCAGCGGCACCTGACGAAACAGCTGGGGTGCCACCTGAGCTGGCTGGCCCTCCCCCAGGTGCGCCCTGCTGCCCTGATACCGCCCTGCCTCCCTGCCCCTCCCCCTGCATCCTCCCACCTCCCCCCCCTGCACTGCCACTAGGTCCTCCCCCTCCCACTGACCCTCCCGCTGCTGCCCCTCCCCCTGCTCCTCCCCCTCCGCCTACCCCCCCTGCGCCCATCCCCCTGTGCGCGTCAGCAGCAGCAGCATGGGGGCCGGCGGCGAGAGGGGGGCCAGCGGGGGGAGGGAGGTGCGGAGGAGGTGCGTCCATGGCCAGCCCCGCCACTGGCACCTGCAGGGACGCTCACCAGGGAAAAGGGGGGGGAGGGCGAGGGGGATCGAGTGCGAGGAAAGGGAAGGCAGGAGAGTAGTGAGCAGTGAGATGGGAGGGATGGGGTGTTGTGCATGAGGGGGTGGTGGGCGGACGGGGTGGTGATAGCAAGGGAAGCAGGAAGCAATGACCATGCGCATTGGCTTCTGCCCCATGACCAAACCACGTCAGCAGTCGCCTCACCTCGATGATGACATCAGCATCCACGGGACGCGGGCGGCGGGTCTCCCAGGAGGGGCGGCGCTCGACGAAGAAGACGGCGTCGGCGTGCGGGCGGCTGACCATGGCGTGCGTGACAGCTGTCACCAGCTCGGGCGGCATCTCTGGGTCTATGTCCTGCCAAGGATGAGAGGGGGCGAGGAGGGGGAGAGGGAGTGTGGTGTGGCGGGGTAGAAGAGGACGGGAGGATGGGAGAGGTTTGAGAAACAGGGTTACAAAGAGGGGAATGAGGAAGAGAAGCAGGATGGGGAAGGAGGTGGGGGTTTTGTGACATGTGTGCTTGATGCAGTGCAGACTTCCATTGCACCCATTTTGCACAGCCCGATGCTGCTGACTGGATGGGTCCGTAGCATCGCGTGATGCCACTGCGGTTGACTTGCACGTGTGCTGCAGTTGCTAGCACAGACGGACTGGCAGTGACTAGTGTTGACTGGCGTTGACTGGCGTTGACTGGCGTTGACTGGCGTTGACTGGCGTTGACTGGTGACTGACCTCAGTGGGCATGCGCGACTCAAACACGGGGATGCGGCTCTGCATGCTCGCCTCCAGCCGCAGCTGCGCCTGTTGGCGGAAGGGGATGGGGGGGGGGAGGTGAAAGGAGTGGGGGGGGGATGAGGAGGTATGGTGGGAAGGGAGGACAGGATGGGGAAAGGGTGAGGAGGCATGAGGGAAAGAATGGGAGGAGGGAGCAGAGCAGCCAGAGGCAGTAGTGGCACGAGAGCACCAGAAAGGGCGAGGGAAGCGAGGAGCATACGAGGCGGTGGCAGTAGTGGCGCCATGCGCCCTCGTTGAGGTCGAAGTTGAAGTAGTCGCTCACATCCGCTCCCGGCCGCCGCCATGGCTTGTCCTCCAGGCTGTCTATGTCCAGGTCAAACACCGTCCTGCACCAGTCAACGCAGTCAACCCAGTAAAATTTAGTCAAAGGTCGCAAAAGTTTCTTGGTCAGGTAAAGAAGTGATGATGGGCAGCTGAATTGGTGCAGGTACTACAATGGAGCATGCACTAGAGTGGCACTGACTTGGTGGGCGGCAGGTTAATCTCTATGTGATACCCCCTCCCCGACCCATGCTGCCACACTGCCGGCGGCCTCCCCCCCTGCCCGCCCTGCTGCTGGTACTGCCCCTGCTGCCCCGCCCCTCCCCCCATTGCTGCGCCTCCTGCGCCAATACGTCCCCCCATGCCTCCTGCCCACCCTCCCCCCTGCCCGCCAGCTCCCCCTGGCCCTCCCCCTGCTGCAAGCGCGCCAGGGGCGGAACCAGGGGGGCCGGGGGGCGTTGCGCCCAGGCCTGTGCCTTCCATGCCCATGGGGGAATGACCCTGCGGATGAGGGGAACGGGAGGGGGGAGGGAAGGGGGGGAATGGGTCATGGGCGGACGGGGATCGGGGAAGCAGGGAGGTGGGGATGAGGTTGTGCGTTGGTGGGGGAGCATGTGATGACCAGGTTCACACGCATGCGGGGTGCAGAGCAGACGGACAGCATGGCGGGCAGTGTCAGGTGACAGGTGACAGGTGACAGGTGACAGGTGCCGCAGGCAGCACGGCAAGCAAGGCACGGACCGACAGGAGCAACACCTTGGAGGGCGGAGTCACTCGGTACCCGCGCCCAGCTCCCCCTCCCCCCTGCACTGCCGGGGTGCCTGGCCCCCCCGCCCCACCTCCCCCTTCCCCCTCTCCGCCCTCCGCGCCTTCCTCCCCCTGGCCTCCCCCCGCGCCTCCAGGCATGCCCCCATATTCCCCACCTGCGCCCATGCCGTACATGCCCTCCTCCCCCATGCCCTCGTCCCACTCGCCGACAGGTGGCACCAGGTCATTGGCCACGATGATCAGATCGTCATCATCATCCTCACTCTCCTCATCCTCCTCCTCTTCCTCCTCCTCGTCCCCCCCTCCCTCTGCTCCGCCCGCCCCATCCGCTACCGCCTCCTTCCCTTCTGCGCCCCCAACCCCCTTTTCCTCTTCCGCCTTCATTTCCCCTTCCCCTTCCAACCCCTCCCCCTCTCCCTCGCGCTTCCCCGCCTCCACCTCCTCCCCCACCCCGGCCCGTCCCCCAAGCCCTTCGCGCGCATCCCCATAAACGTCCATAGCTACCCGCTCGTCCCCGCCTCGCCCCTCTGCTGCGCCCCCTGCCTTCCCCTGCTCGCCTTTTGACGTCTCCGCCTCCTCCCCCGCATCTTCCCCCGCCTCTTCCGCCTCTTCCGCCTCTTCCGCCTCGAGCTCCGCGAAGGGATACAGGCTCTGCTCGCCCTCCGCGCCTTCCTTTCCGCCAACGACACCGCCACCTACTCCCCCACCATCACCGTCCCCCTCCGCGCTGTATAGAAACTTCTCCAAATCCTCTTCCTCTTCCTCCTCCTCCTCCTTCCCCTCTGCTGCCTCCTGCTCCCCCCCCACTCCCTCGGTCCCAACCCTAACCCCCCCTGCGCCACCTTCCCCTGCACTCTCCGCGGCCACACCACCTTCCGCCCTTGCGCCCGCATCCTTCCGCCATTCCTCCGCCTCCCCCATTTCCGCATCCTCTTCCCCCTCCGCTTTCATTCCCCCAAAAAACTTTTCCTTTTCGTCATGCCGCTCAACGTCTCCCACTACAGGCACATTCGATACAGCAGCAGCGTCAGCGGCGGCGGAGGCAGAACGGTCATGGGAGTTCAAGGTCGGCCCAGCGGCGTCGGCGCCCAACTCCGCCCGCTGGCCCTCATCAGCGCGGTTTTCCCCGCCAATGCCGCCTGCTTTGCCGCCACTGGGGCTCGAACCCCGCTCCTCCACCGCCTCCTCATCTGCACGATCCTTGGCACCCCCGTACAGCTGATTGTAAAATGCATCCTCCTCGTCCTCATCGTCCTCCTCTTGCTCCTCCTCGCCGCGCCCGCGCTCCTGCGATCCATCTCTCCCCGATGGCGTCGACGAATCACCGGGTGCCGCTCCCCCGTCCGCGTCATAAGCTTCTCCGGCATTCGACGGACGAGTGGCAGCAGGCGAAACAGGCGGCGAGGTGAGAGGGGTAGGGATTGCTGCTGCTACCGGCGTAGCGTGCACGGTCTCGCGACCATTGGGTGCGGATGCGGCCGGAGGGGGTGGACTCGACGGGGCTATAGCAATAGGCTTAAGAGGCTCCGGAGTAGGTAAGGTGGTGGTGGAGGATGGCGGTGCGATCTGGTCGACAGGCTCGGATTTCGCGGGTACGGGAATCGCAGGAGCGGGAGGTGCGGCAAGCGACGAGCCGTAGAGCAGCGCCTCGTCGTCGGCATCCTCGAGGTCGTCGTCGCCGCCCAGCCCGTAGTCGTACGCCAATCGCACGGATGCGGGAGCGGCGGCGGCGCTCGCGGGGACGGATGCCGCGCCCACGTCGCCGTAGAGATCTTCGAAATCGTCGTCCTCCATTCCGCTAGGTCTACCGACTAAATGTCAGGGAAGGGAGTCGCATACTAGAATACCGAATGGACAATCTTGACAAGTATGCAGATTGAGCGGGCTGGTTCTTTGCTTCGTAGATCGTGAACTCGATATAGGTAGGTTTCCATTGATACACCTGACTGATGCACTCTGGATAGCCACTTGTTGTAGATAAAAATGCAGTAGACATATTCCACAGTTGCTGCACTGTTTCAATTCTTTGTTTTCATAATTGTCTCCATTCAACACAAGCAACCGAAAGATAATAATGAAACACCATTTGAATAAACTCGGAAAAGGGGTTGTCCCCTCTCCATGTCTTTCCAATCACACCAGGTGCGTTCATGTCCTCGACGAGGACTCGCCCAATCATCCTCCACCGCAGATTGCAAGCTCCACCAGGTTTAACCTCACGACTGCTGACATCAGCACTTTCTCCCAGCCACTCAACCTCTCACGTCCTTGGGTTGGATTGGATTGGAGCCATTCTTCCCCCTAACCCCCCTGGCCCAACATCGGGTCAATTCTATCCGAGCCGGAATCTCTTCCCAGATGCAACCCCGCTCGGGTCGCGCCTTACCTGGGGAGGGGAGGATGCACCAAACTCCGAATCGCGAACCGTGAAATCCATCCACCAATGCACTTGTTTCGAATGCAAATCCTCACCACGTCCCAGACACGAATAAAGTTCTATGGCATTCACGGAGTCGTCAATTCGAAGTCATTTGGTGCGCCAAACAACCTTAGAGCCTCTCGTCAACCCGCACGTTTTTCCCGACAATTCGCTGCCATGGCTCGCACTCTGATCTTCGTCGCCCTCATCCTCGGCGTCGTCGCCCTTGCAAATGGCGCCGCCGTGCCCTTCTCTTACGACAAGAGCGGCACTGACTGGACGGTAAATTCCACGCCCCCATAATTGCGCGCCTCGCCACATGTAGTTCGCAGCGTTACAAGTTCCTGACCAACAAACGTGAGAAAATGCGCAACTTTCAGCAATATACAATCTCGCGTTTGTTTTTTTTTTACATTGCGCAGGGCGCGTGCGCGTCGGGAGAGCGGCAGTCGCCGATCAACATCGTGATGGACGAGGCGGTGCTGGGCGCGTCCAAGGAGCTCTTCCACCTCAACTACTCCAACGCCGCCTCCGTCGCCGTCCTCAACAAGGGCTCCACCATCCGTGCGTTCCCTCTCCACACCTAATTGCACTGCTCATCCGTTCACTTCGTTTTCTGTTTTTTCGTCTGTTTCTGTTCCTCGTGGCAACTTGGCGGCATTGCCTCACGCTTCGTGTACGTTTTCCTCCCGTGCTCCCGTTCCGTGCAGAGGTGGTGCCGGCGGCCACGGAGTCGCACCTGCTGCACCTGTCGTCGGGCACGTACTCGCTGCTGCAGATGCACGTGCACGCCATGTCGGAGCACACCGTGAACGGGCTGTTCGCGCCCATGGAGGCGCACTTCGTGCACGTGCACGTCGATGATCCCAAGAAGCTCGCCGTCGTGGGCGTCATGCTGCGCCTCCACCGCGACGACGCCAACTCCACCTGGATCACCCAGTGAGTTCCCCTCCCCGCCTCTTGCTTTTAGCACTGTTAATTCCCCGGGATACCACCTGATAAAACTAAAACGCCACATTTTGCAAAGAGAACAGGGAATCGCCATTAACTCGCTTCATGTATCACGCTGTCTGATCCCGAATCTCCCTCCGCGCCTCCGCAGGTGGCTGGACCGCGCGCCGGCGGCGAACGGCGCGAACGTGACTGTCCCCGTGAGCGCGGACTTCTGGACGGCGATGCTCGCACCGTCCATGGGCTTCTGGACGTACCCCGGGTCGCTCACCACGCCCGAGTGCGACGAGATCGTGCAGTGGCACGTGCTTCGCAAGTCGCAGTCGCTCTCCGTCGCACAGACCATTCAGTTCATGAACATGATGGCGGTTACCAATAACGGCGAGCGCACCGACAACCGCGTGCCGCAGCCAATCAACGGCCGCATCGTCTACTTCTACTACCCCGAGCTCGTCTCCCAGTAGCCCCGCTCCACGCCGCCGCTAGCGCTAGCTTTTTCCGTCGGCTGGATTTGAGTTAGCGGATGGGTAGGATGCCGACGCAGCGGGAGCGATTGGAGGGCATGGCGCCATGTGTTGTGGCCTGCCTCTGCCAAGAGTAGTGGTTTTGCTTCAGCTGTGCTTTGCCCTCTTACGTGCATGCCCTGCATTGTCAGTAATAAAGCCAGTCCTTCCAACGTAGCCCCTCTTACTCTCATGTACTACCTTAAGACCGTAAGCTCAGAACAGTTTTTATATGCCTAAGCTATGGTGGTGGAATGAACAAGTGTTGCTACAACAACACTGCAATATGTGTCGGGGATCACGTTCTGGGAGGGCCTTGTTGTCCACTCCAACTTGGCCTGGGCGTTGTCAAGTGAATGGCAGCAGACTTGCCACCAGCCGGTAAGACACTGCACGTGTGCATAACGGTGTCAGAAGGTGAGCAGGGAAGAAGGGAGTTGAATGCCCGCTGAAGGGCACTTGCATGCCGTTACACAGTACAGAGAGCCACGGAGTGCCAGCCAGCCCTCAGGATGTCTGCCAGCCCTCAGCATGTCTGCCAGCCCTCAGCATGTCTGCCAGCCCTCAGCATGTCTGCTACCTCATGTACAATAGGCTTCAACAACCCAAGGACCCACATGCTACATGCAACATTTCGCTATGAGGGTGGGTACATAGCCAGCTGATTTGTGATTTGTCCACCCACACCATGATATGCGACGAGTGTGCTAGCGAATCTTATAACATAATTTACAGCAACGGGTATATCCCAATCCTCTAATTAAGTGCGAGCACTTTCTTCATGTGCTCATACGTGACGTACGTGATGCTGGCAGCGGGCACCACCTTGAGCAGGTTCGGCACCACACCTCGGAAGAAGGCATGCACGCCGCCCTCCTGCCACAGCTCCCGTGTCACCTCCCCCATTGTTGGCCCCCTGCGTGCCACACCCATGGCTGACAATGCTGCTGTTGGCGCTGCTGCTCCTGCTGCAAAACCCAATGCGCTGCTTGGTGCGGGCGGTGCGCTGACGTGTGCTTGCAGCCTGCCACACATGGAGCCAAGAGGGCGGTGGTCTGGTTTGACAAGAGAAATACTGGCAAGTAGTACAGTAGTTTGACACACGTCCACGTGAAGCAGTGGGATCATTGTGTGAAGGCGCGAGGGGAGGGGCAGGGCATGTGTGGTGTGGAAGGAGGGTCTCACCGGGTGCGGATGACCTGCAGGGGGAAGACGAGGGTGGCGGCCACCGTGGCTGACACCGTTCCACACGCCAGCTGTAGCACCGGCGCCGCCTCTGACCAGCACACAGGGGGCACACACACAGCACGAGACAGGTGGGGGCAGAGGGATTGGTTGGATGGAGGAATGAGCATGAGGCAGGGTAGTGGTCACGGGAGCAAGGGGCGGGTTGCAAGGGAGGATGAGGACAAGGCTTAGGGTAGGGCAGCACGTTGCGCACAGCAGTAGTGAAGGCAGCAAATGCTGTGCCATGTCATGTCGGGCCATGAGTGTGTGCACTCACCAGGGCGGCGTTCGATCCACGGGGTGAAGGCGTCTCGCAACGTCTCATACGCCGCCAGGTCGATGCCGGCGAACGGGATCATGCCCAGGATGGACGGCAGCAGCCCGCGGAACATGGCGCCCGCCCCCTCCCTCTGCAGGATCTCCGCCGTCAGGGCGGCGAGGGGCGGCGGGTTCCGGCCGTATGTGAGGTGGTAGGTCTGCAGGCGCGTTTTGACGAGGTCGAGTGGGTACACGGCCGTCTGTGCCACGGCGCCCGCCATGCCCCCCGCCACCAGCCGCGTCACCGCCGTCTCCCCCGACTTCTGCCCACACGCGTGGAAAGAGTGGGATCAGGGGGGTGTGGAAACGGTTGAATGCACACGTGTGCATGGTCACTGCAATCAAGTGAGAGTGCACAGGTGGAGGTGGCAACAGGGAGGGGCGGAGTTAAATGCACGGCTGGAGAATCTCATTATGTAGCTGGGCTCACCTCAGCAGCACCAGCACCCCCAGCAGCAGCAGGGGGGGAGATGGCGCGTTTGAGGAGCTCGTAGGCGTAGAACTTGATGGCTGACTCGGGCGCCACCTTGACGACGTTGATGCCGTTGCCCTTGAAGAACGCCCCCACGCCGCCCTCCCCGTACACCTGCTGCACCGCTCGCCACAGCGTCAGCCGCCCGCCCGCCACCTGCTGCCGCCCGGCGATTGCGGCCTGCCGGCCAGACTGCATGTTCTGCCACCAGAGCGGCATGCTGGGCGGCAGGCGAGGTGGTGCTTGTGTAGAGGGTGAGAGCGAGAAAGACGGGGCCGAGGGGGAGGCGGTGCGGAGGAGAGAGAATTGCCAGCGCGAATGGCGTGGGCGGGGGTGGTGGGGGGCGGGGGAGGAGGCAGAAGGGGAAGGAGGAGTGGCACGGGATGGGGGTGGGGGGTGGTGGGAGGGGGGGACGGGCGATTGAGGTGCTGCTGCTGATTGCGGTGGTGGGTGTGGGTGTGGTGGTGAGGTTGTTGGTAGGCGTGGTGCGGCACTGGTGCCAGCACCAGGAACAGCGGCGCTGGACAGCCTTCCTCCCGCGCCTGCCCTTGCTGCTCCCTCCGTTGCTCCCCCTGTTGCTGTTGACACTGCTGCCACTGTCCCTCGGGTGCCACCTGCCTGTGCCCCCCCTGCTGCTGCGTGCACAGCCCTCCCTGCTGCACCACTCGCGCCAACAGCCCTTGGGGCGGCGCTGCTGGCAGCAGCAGCAGCGGCTGCCATCGCACCGGCACCAGCAACACCACCAACACGGACAGCGGCAGCGGCAGCGCCAGCAGCAGCGGGGTGCGCGTGTGTACTACCGGCCTTGGCGCACTGCAGCAGCACCTTGAGGCGGTCCAGGGGCGCCGTGGCCGTGCGCGACACGGCACCCGCCACGCCGCCCGCCAGGAAGTAGCGCCACGCCAGGGCGGAGGCGTCGGGAGCGGTGGAGAGTGATGCAGAGAGGCCTGAGGGGATGACTGGCTGCTCGCCTATGTCCACCTGCTGCACTCGCTCCCAGTACTGTGACAGGAAAAGCGGGGGGAGGGAAGGAGTGGGGGGGGAGGTTGGGGAGGAAAACGTGAAGGGCGAGGGGCGCAGAAAGGTGGAGAGTAGAGGGGGAGGGCATTGGCAGAAGCGGCAGGGACAGCGATGCATGGCCACGAGGTGAGAGTTCGGCGAGGGCACGGGGAAAGCACGGGGAAAGGCAGGGTGGCGGCAGGGTGGTGGCAGCAGCAGGCGCACGGAGGACAGACGCACAGAGGACAGACGCACAGAGGACAGACGCACAGAGGACAGACGCACAGAGGACAGACGCACAGAGGACAGACGCACAGAGGACAGACGCACAGAGGACAGACGCACAGAGGACAGACGCACAGAGGACAGACGCACAGAGGACAGACGCACAGAGGACAGACGCACAGAGGACAGACGCACAGAGGACAGACGCACAGAGGACAGACGCACAGAGGACAGACGCACAGAGGACAGACGCACAGAGGACAGACGCACAGAGGACAGACGCACAGAGGACAGACGCACAGAGGCACGGACCTGGTAGGCGGTGGCGATGGAGGTGGCGCGGTGGGGGAAGAGCAGCAGGAAGTCGCGCCACTCGTTGAAGGACAGCACGCCATCGTGGTTGCGATCCATCTTCTCCATGAACGCCTGTAGCTCGCCCTCCACTAGGTGTATGCCTGTTAGGTGGGGCGGGGGGAGGTATGCGCATGGGGAGAGGGCGAGAGAGAGAGGTATAGGGCATCGTGGTTGTGATCCATCTTCTCCATGAACGCCTGTAACTCGCCCGCCGCCAGGTGGATGCTTGCCGTGCATGGGGGGGAGGGGGAGAGGCATGGGGCATGGGCATGCGGAGAGGTATGGACATGCGGAGAGGTAGGGGCATGCGGAGAGGCATGGGCATGAGGCATCGAGGTTGTGATCCATCTTCTCCATGAACGCCTGTAACTCGCCCTCCAGTAGGTGTATGCCTGCCGTGCATGGCGTGTGGGGGGAGAGGCATGGGCATGCGGAGCAGTCTGGGCATGGGGCATCGTGGTTGTGCTCCATGCGACTCATTAACGCCTGTACCTCGCCCTCCTCCGCTCGATGCCTGCCGTGCACCAAGGGAGGGGGTGGGAGGCGTGGGGCATGGGAAGGGTGTGAGTGAGAGGAATGGGGCATGCGGGAGGGGGCGGTGCGGCATGCACTCATGTGTGGGAGGGCAGCGACAGAGATGAGAGCGCGAGGAGTGTGGCGGAGAGAGGGCAGCAGCAGGGGTGGGTGGTTACTGGTGTGGTGGAGAGCAGCAGCGAGCTCGTGCAGGGAGATGGCGCCATCGATCGAAGTCTTCTGAGTCGACTCAGAACTCACCAGCGTGGTGCAGCGCGGCAGCGAGCTCATGCAGGGAGATGGCGCCATCGAAGTCGGTGTCGAGCTGCTGGAAGAGGCGGTACAGCTGCACCTCCTTGCTGTCCATGTACCGGTGGAACTCGTTATAGTCACACACGCCGTCCCCGTTCTGTGCCCAGCCAGGGGAAGACGGGGGAGGGGAGGGGGAAAGAAGGGAGAGAGTGGGCGGGAGCGGAGCATGGCGCGCAGTGTGGTGTGAGTGCAATATTGACGGGCGGAACTCGCCCATCGGTCGAAATGAATGCCCGTGCACGGCCATCACCGTTGCTGGGAGGGAGTGCGCAATGGATGTTACCAGCACCTGGCGGACGGCGGCGAGCGCGCACCTGGCGGACGGCGGCGAGCGCGCACCTGGCGGACGGCGGCGAGCGCGCACCTGGCGGACGGCGGCGAGCGCGCACCTGGCGGACGGCGGCGAGCGCGCACCTGGCGGACGGCGGCGAGCGCGCACCTGGCGGACGGCGGCGAGCGCGCACCTGGCGGATGGCGGCGAGCGCGCACCTGGTCGATGGCGGCGAGCGCGCACCTGGCGGATGGCGGCGAGCGCGCACCTGGTCGATGGCGGCGAGTAGGTCTTTAGAGAACTTGTAGTCCACCGGCACGCCCATGCGCGCCAACCCCCTCTCTATCTGCCTCCGCGTCAGCGCGCCTGCCACGCGCCACCGGGGGGAAGGCGGGGGGGAGGGGAGGCAGCAAGAGGCGGACAAGTTGCAAGTGGCGCGGAATGACGGCCCGCAGGGATCGCCGCGCTGTGCTACCGAGTTATCAAGCTGCCATGTCACGGCGCGGTGCGATAAGCCACCGTGCTACACCATCTGTACCCCCCTGTTTTACCTTGAAAAGCGTGCAACTACGCCCTAGTACTCTGCGCGCATTTCATCAGCGGCTATTCCAATTTCATCCCATCGCTATTCCCGCGTCGCCCCACCTCTATTTTCGGTGTCGAACGTCTGAAAAAGCGCGCGAATGCGCTTTTCGCGCGACGCGGGGCTCTCGTTGGCGGCCAGATGCACCTCCACCAGTCCCAGCCCCACCGCCGCCCACTCCCCGCCTCTATCACCTGCCGCCTGGCCCAACTCCGCTCCGCCCGCCGCCTGATCCACGTCATTCCTTGCGTCGGCGATCGACGCTTGGCGCGCAGCGGGATCTGCGTGGGTCATGGCGGAGCTGCGGACGGCAGCGTCGGAGTGCCGCGAGCAACGGCGGTAGCAGGGCTGTAATGCGGCAACCCGCACAATGCCTCGCGGACGGATACGCAATGGAACACGGCTCTCCCTAAAAGGTGATTATTTTTTTCGTAAAGAAATTGGAGGGGAAGCGCCAGAGGGCCACGTGGGAATTTTAGTGGCTGACACGCGCCGTGCGAAGTGCAGTGAATGAGGGATTGACTGCTAGTGGAACGCCAAGTCAAGCCGTGAATGGATCGCGAGGGTTGCCCGGCAGCCCGCTGCAAGGGGGAGGGTTCGCGAATCTCGCCTGCTCGTGTACCCCGATGCGGATTGCGCGGAGATTCCCCGCGTTGAGCTCAGCTGAGCAGCACCTGAGCGCAGAGGGCGGTGAGCGAATACTGCACATTGCACAGTGAAGGCGGAATGGACTGCGAACGCGCGTGGCCCGGCGCTGATATTTCCCGCCCCTGGGTGCTGAAGCAAAGGTACAGAAATCAAATTTACATGCCGTGGGCTTATGTTTCTTATAAATGCATACGAGTGCTATACATTAATGAACATGGAAAGCACTAATACAAATACTAGCTTCACCTTGGAGCAGCATCTTGAAACACCACCTTGCCAGCATTAACATATGACCCGTCATCAATCCCATTCTCTGCGCCTCTGTCACTTCCTCCCCCGGCATCTCTGCATGACAACGAGCGCCACGAGTTCCGCCCTTCCCCACTCCGCCGGCCACTAGCGTCTCTACCACCGTTCCTGTCTGCAACGCTGCTCACCGCGGCCTCATTAGCGGAAGCTGAAGAAACAGAAGCGGATCTGCTGTGTCCCCCGGATGTGGCGGAGACAAGGGAGGCTGATCTGCTGTGACCAGACATGGTCGACCCACTGGAGTCGGATCGAGAGTGCCCGATGGCAACGATGTGTTGCATCGACTTCACCAGGTCCTGGATCTGCGGCCGCGCCACCGGGTCCTCACTGATGCAGTGCTTGGCCAGAACCAGAAGCTTCTGCGCGGCAACGCGGGAGAACTGGTCCTTTAATCGCGGGTCCAGGATGATGTCTAGATCCGGGCGGCGCACTGAAATGTGTGGCCGAATCCAGGCTGTCAAGCCGCCCTCCCCGTTGGCATCCTGGTCTTCGTCGCTTGAGGGCGGGCGGCCAGTGAGGAGTTCCAGGTAGACGACCCCCAGCGCGTAGATGTCACTCTTGGGCGTCAGGTGGCCTGGTGGCGGCGAGGGTTGGGGATACAGCAAGGGGTGGTGCGATGAGTTGAAAGTGCACACAGCACAACACAGTCTGCGTGAGCTGTCATGCCATGAAAGCAATGGGTTGGGCCTGTATTGCTCTTGAGGCCATCCAAGCAGCTGTATGCAGTGGGTTGGGCGCGCACCTGTCTCGAGGTACTTGGGGTCGAGGTACCCCATGGTGCCCAGCACGCGCGTGGATATGTGCGTCTGCCCCGCCTCCGGCCCCACCGTCGCCATGCCAAAGTCCGTCAGCTTCGCCCGCATGCTCTGAGAACGGAGGGGAAAGGGCAGCGCAAGGGGCACGGTTGCCATGATTTGCGTGAGGATTCCCCGAAACAAGCCAAGCTGCTTGACCGAACCATGAGCGGTAAGGGTGTGGATAGAGCGGGGCCAGGGCAAATGCAATGAGTGGGTGCTGAGAGGGGCGCACGTGGTCGAGGAGGATGTTGCAGGACTTGAAGTCGCGGTGAATAATGTTCTCCGCGTGCAGGTGCGCCAGCCCCATGGTCGCATCCAGTGCAATGCGCACGCGCTCCTCCCATGTCAGCACCCGCCGCACACGACTGCTGCTGGAGTCGTCTGAGAAAAGCCAGGCGTCGAGGCTGCCGTTACTGAGGAGCTCATAAACGAGGATGGCCTCCTCCCTGTCCGTGCTGTATCCCAGCAGGCGCACCAGGTTGGGGTGGCTCAGCCTCCCCAGCAGCAGCACCTCCGACTGATGATGCGGGGCAGGGGCGGAGGAGAAAGGGAAGGAAAGGGAGGGGGAGTGAAGGTGGGGAGAAAAAGGAAGGGCGAAGGGTAAGGGGTGGCGGATGCACAGGGTTTACTGCACGCGAATCACGTCCCACGGCCCATCATTTACCCCAGTGACCCACCATCCATCTCCAGCAACCCACCATCCATCCCCATCACCCACCATCCACTCGCCGAAGCCCTGAAAGCTATCAGCATCGAGCACTTTAATCGCCACTTTGCGCTTCTGTCCACGCGGCAGCTCGCCGAGCCAGTCCGGCACGGAGCCGCGGTACACCTTGCCGAAGCTGCCCTCGCCCAGCAGGTTGCCGCGCCGGAACCGCCCCGTGGCCGCCTGCAGCTCGCGATACGAGAAGCGCCGCAGGTCGTTTGCGAACGACGCGTTCGACGCGTTGTCGTCGTAAATGTTCGCCACTGAACCGGGGAGACGGGGGTGTGGAGGGGAGGGGGAAGACGGGGACGTGGGTGCAGGCGAGGGACGACGGAAGGACTCGCAGACGCACACTGGGTTGCCGCGACACCGCATGGGGGCTCAACGTAAGGGTTGCGAGAAGTGGTGTGGGAGAGCATGCCGACGCGCATACCTGGCTCTATCTCGGAGGAACCCCCGTTTGGAAAACAAGGAAATGGCCCGCCTTTATGCTTGCTGTGACGACTGGCGGGACTACTGCAGCACGCTCCCATAATTATGAGTTCCAAAGAAAATAAAATTAGTGCACACGTGTAAACGACGTAATGAGGCGATTGCGAACAGCAATAGACGGTATTAGCTCGGAGAACTCTAGCTCGGATAATAGGCCGCGGCTTCGAAACGGAGTGTTCTCCCTAGTAACATCTTCACGGAAACAGGAAGCATGGCGACCTAAGGACCTAGGTCAGCGGATATCGCGGTGCCGACTCGACGGAATCTGCACTAATCTGGACGAGGATGCGAGGAAGAGAACGAAGTAGAAAGGGGGTGCTGCGTGCGCGAGAAGTGAATGGCGGAATGGGTAGGCTGCGCGAACCTTGAACTCTCCGCGCGGGCGAGAGGCAACGAATGCCACAGCAGTGGCGGTGACGGAGACTTGGAAGAAAATCTGCCGATGGCCGATTCTTCTGCTTGCTCTCCTTCAGACCGTCGATTCTCTGTCCACTGGGAACAGTTGGCGCATATGTCAGCAAGGGAGATCAGTTTGACTCGCTCCCTGAATGCGAACAACAATAATGAATCATGACTGACATCACATGACATAATGAAAACATAAAAAACACTCAGAAGCCACGAGGTATAGATGGAAAAAAGTAATGTGAAGCGTGTAGGCACATGTCACTTTTGTTTGTGAATATTCTGACACTAATTTAGGTAGGCGTTTGGCTCCCAATGGCGCGATGGGTGAAACGTAAGGGATAGAGGGTCAAACGATCAGGATACTCAACAAGTGCCATACGTGGTACTGCAAATGTTGTGAAGGAAATTAAATTCCTGATACGGGGCCCCTTAAATGCCCCGTAAGTACAAAATTTATCAGAGTGAAATGTCTCATTCTTCATCACTATCTTGCTCCAGGCGGTTGATGTATTTGTCATAGTATATGGCAGCTTTCTCTGTGTCTCTTAACTCCGTATAGCAGTCCGCAATCGCTCCGTATGCCTCTGTGTCACCAGAATGCTCTCCCGTTGCCACTGACTTCTCCAAAACCAGTTGATGATAGCCAATGGCTTCCTTGTACTTGCCTTGCCTTTGACAAGCGGCTCCTGCAGGGGAGGAAGCAGCATGTGAACAGGGACATTAGGAACATTCAAGCAGGGGTTTGAGTGGTAGGTCACCGCATACTTCCTTCCATCTTGACAAACGTGCATATGTGAGAATGCAGGTGCTGTCACCGCACTTACCAAGTCCTCTGGCAGCTTTCTTCTCTTCAACCGCATCTCCCAGCTCCTTTGCCTTGCTCAGAGCCACATGGAACTCCACAAATGCCGACCCTGGGTGCCCATCCCGCAGGTGCTTCTTCCCCTCTTTCAGCATGCGCAGCAGCTCTGCCCTCTCATCACTCCCACCACGAGCCATTTCACCAACAGCCGTTGCCCTGGTTGTTTCTGCAGGTGCGTCAGCAGCGGGAGCTGCTGCTGTCCCTGCTATGCGGCTGGTGCCGGCTGCAGGCGAGGCGGCGCTAGGAGGAGGCGGGGAGTAGGCGAGGGAGGGAGCGTCCAAGCGGGCCTGCCTCTTGAGGCTCATGTTGATCTGCCTCAACTGCTTGTTGATGCGCTCCATCTCCGCCCCCTGCTGCAATGCCATGTACCCTGCCACGCATGCCACACATTTGACAGTCAGGGTTGGGGTGCACACGTGTCCATCAGAGATAGATTTGACCTGGCTTCGCGCATCAGGCTCCACAGCCAGCGTGTGTAGATGCACCTTACTGAGCCAGGACGCCTTTTCGTTCTTCCGAGCTTCGTTCTTTCAGTTGTTAGATTACGGCGAACGACCTTGTGTACACTGGTCCTACACAGCCCAACGCGTCACCGGTTTTTATAATTTCTCCCGGGACGTACCCCCGCCTTTCTCACCTCCCACGGCAGCGCCAGTGAGCGCAATGAACTCGAGCGCGCACGTCACGGCCACCACAGTGTTGAAGTCCGCCCCGCCCAGCAGCTCCCCGCACGCCTGCGCCGCTGCTGATGCGGCGGAACCAGCTGCTGCGCCATCAGCGGCAGCAACAGCGGCTTCCGCAAGAACACGGGGGGCGGAGGCCAGGAATGCCGCTGCCAGTCCCGCGGCAATGAGCGGCTGGAGGAGAGGGGAGTCCCAGCTGGCTGAAGAATCCTTGTCCGTGGAGTTGATTCGACCTAGGGAAGCTGCGAGAAAGAAGGGGACGCAATGCGGAACGCGGGAGGATGCATTGGGACATGGCGAGGGAAGCCGCGGGAAGGAGTGGAACGCGCATGGATTTGGAGTTCATCTCACCAGCAGGCCGCGATGGATGGAGTCGTGTTGAGGAAACGCAACTGGCCGGCGAGCACCTTTGTTGGCTGATGGAAAATGACGATAATGAGGCAACTCGAGCGACTCTATCGAGGGCAAAGAAACGGGATATCGACATCGTGACAATGCGTCCCCTGGGTTCACGGGGACGCAATGTGTCCGCGTCGCCTCGAGAAAACTAGGTGGTGAACCTGCTTGGCTGACAAGACACCAATTTCATGTCGGTGGAGATGGGTTTCGCGGAGTGACCCTGGAATATCGCTGCCCTTGCCATGCTGGCAGGGCGATTTGCCCAGCACAGCGTGGCAACCAGATTTGGCCAATTGATGAGACGCTTTTGGTTGGCTCGTGAGTTTCTGCTGATTCACGTGCGCGAAACGTGGCAGGACAACTTCGAAAATGGGTAACACCGCAATGGTTATGATATTCGTAAAACCAAAGTGCAGCACGACTTGAAAGCAAATGAGCTTATGTCGATTTTGAGGAATCCAGGTCATTTTCGTTAGTAGCACTCAGTCCGGTTGTTGGTGGAGGTTTGTCGATTTGGTCTGACGATCCAACAGTGTCTTCTCTGATCAGTCAGTAACGCGAATGGTGGTGGTGGGGTGGCCTGACAGCCAAACCAAGTAAATTTCGCACGTCGATTTTATTTAGCGCATTGTCATCGTCAGATTCACAACGCGTTTAGCGCTAGTGGGCCTCATACTACTTACAGTGTCCTTGACAGGCTTGCGTAGAAGTATCGGAAAGCTGAAGAATTATTAGGTTTGTTTTCCTGCCTTGTGGTAGTCTTCATCGCATATTTTCTCTATCACATTCAGTCAGAAGAAGCGTTTCAATTCGTGATCATTCGCGGATTCGCTCACGACTTGACCTGACCTCATTCTTGATGTCCGCCATACCGCGAGCAGCACCACCGTCCGTCGTTGCGTGTAGGAACCGGCACATGCGAGCTGGCGTGCTGTAGCGGGGTGCGCATGGGCATCGCGTGGTCGCGCTGGCTCGACGTGCTGCACGGCGGCGAGTCGGAGGGCGTGCCGCCCGCCGTGCCGGCGATGGTGCAGCGCGCGTACGACCAGTACGCGGACGACAACGGCGTGATGACCAGCAAGGCGCTGCTCAAGTTCTTCCAGGAGTTCCAGCAGGACAAGGTGCCGGGGGGGGGGGGGGGGGGGGGAGGTGGGGGGGTGGTGAGTTGCGCGCGGGGAAATAGGTGCGCCGGGGGAAAAGTAGGCGTTGCTCAACTTCTTCCCTCACGCCACTCTCCCCTCCCTTCCCCTCCCTCCATTTCTCTGGAAATTGTACTCCGCCCTTCCCCTCCGCGTGCGCGCAGGGCGTGCTGCACGGCCCGATGGCGAATCTGCTGCTGTCGTTCCCCTCGTCCAGCGCCAAGCCCGCGGACGGCATCCCGCAGGTCAACCGCAGCCGCTCGCACCGCGCGCAGACGCAGGGGCACCGGCACTCGCGCACGCTGACGCGCTACTCGCTGACGCTGGGCGGCAGCCGCATGAAGGCGCAGGCGGAGCCGAACGCGGACCAGTTCCTGCACGTGCTGCTCGCCCCGCTGCTCACTCCCGCCCTCGCCAACCGGGTACCAAGCGCTAGGGGAAGGGGGGAATGGGGGAAGAGGGGGAAGTGGGAGCGGGTGACAGTGGGTGAGGATGATGTGAGGCGGGTCAGGGCAGCGTGGGTGGATGTGGCGGGTGAAGGCAGGATGCAGCTTCAGACACGCACCATCAGTAACCGCGCCCCTTCTCCCTCTGCCCCTCGTTCCCTCTTCTCCCCCTTACTCCCCTCCCCTCTCCCCTTGTTCGCTCCCCCCGGATGGTGCATGGCGGGGCGCAGGTGAGTGCGGACATGCGGTTACCACTGTCGCACTACTACATATACACGGGGCACAACTCGTACCTGAAGGGCAACCAGCTGACGAGCGACAGCTCTGTGAAGCCCATCGTCAAGGCGCTAAGGCGCGGCGTGCGCGTCATCGAGCTCGACCTCTGGCCCTCCAGCGACAAGTCCGAAATCCTCGTCATGCACGGCGGGTGAGTCATGCATCGGGGGTGAGTCATGCACGGGGGGTGAGTCATGCACGGGGGGTGAGTCATGCATGGGGGGTCAGTCATGCATGGGGGGTGAGTCATGCTTGGGGGGTGAGTCATGCTTGGGGGGTGAGTCATGCACGGGGGGTCAGTCATGCATGGGGGGTGAGTCATGCAAGGGGGGTGAGTCATGCATGGGGGGTGAGTCATGCACGGGGGGTGAGTCATGCACGGGGGGTGAGTCATGCATGGGGGGTGAGTCATGCACGGGGGGTGAGTCATGCACGGGGGGTGAGTCATGCAAGGGGGGTGAGTCATGCATGGGGGGTCAGTCATGCATGGGGGGTGAGTCATGCTTGGGGGGTGAGTCATGCACGGGGGGTCAGTCATGCATGGGGGGTGAGTCATGCACGGGGGGTGAGTCATGCACGGGGGGTGAGTCATGCACGGGGGGTGAGTCATGCATGGGGGGTGAGTCATGCTTGGGGGGTGAGTCATGCACGGGGGGTGAGTCATGCACGGGGGGTGAGTCATGCACGGGGGGTGAGTCATGCATGGGGGGTGAGTCATGCACGGGGGGTGAGTCATGCAAGGGGGGTGAGTCATGCATGGGGGGTCAGTCATGCATGGGGGGTGAGTCATGCTTGGGGGGTGAGTCATGCACGGGGGGTCAGTCATGCATGGGGGGTGAGTCATGCACGGGGGGTGAGTCATGCAAGGGGGGTGAGTCATGCATGGGGGGTGAGTCATGCACGGGGGGTGAGTCATGCACGGGGGGTGAGTCATGCATGGGGGGTGAGTCATGCACGGGGGGTGAGTCATGCACGGGGGGTGAGTCATGCATGGGGGGTGAGTCATGCACGGGGGGTGAGTCATGCAAGGGGGGTGAGTCATGCATGGGGGGTCAGTCATGCATGGGGTGAGTCATGCACGGGGGGTGAGTCATGCACGGGGGGGTGAGTCATGCACGGGGGGTGAGTCATGCAAGGGGGGTGAGTCATGCACGGGGGGTGAGTCATGCACGGGGGGTGAGTCATGCACGGGGGGTGAGTCATGCACGGGGGGTGAGTCATGCACGGGGGGTGAGTCATGCATGGGGGGTGAGTCATGCACGGGGGGTGAGTCATGCACGGGGGGTGAGTCATGCATGGGGGGTGAGTCATGCACGGGGGGTGAGTCATGCAAGGGGGGTGAGTCATGCATGGGGGGTCAGTCATGCATGGGGGGTGAGTCATGCTTGGGGGGTGAGTCATGCACGGGGGGTCAGTCATGCATGGGGGGTGAGTCATGCACGGGGGGTGAGTCATGCAAGGGGGGTGAGTCATGCATGGGGGGTGAGTCATGCACGGGGGGTGAGTCATGCACGGGGGGTGAGTCATGCATGGGGGGTGAGTCATGCACGGGGGGTGAGTCATGCACGGGGGGTGAGTCATGCATGGGGGGTGAGTCATGCACGGGGGGTGAGTCATGCAAGGGGGGTGAGTCATGCATGGGGGGTCAGTCATGCATGGGGGGTGAGTCATGCACGGGGGGTGAGTCATGCACGGGGGGTGAGTCATGCACGGGGGGTGAGTCATGCAAGGGGGGTGAGTCATGCACGGGGGGTGAGTCATGCACGGGGGGTGAGTCATGCACGGGGGGTGAGTCATGCATGGGGGGTCAGTCATGCATGGGGGGTCAGTCATGCTTGGGGGGTGAGTCATGCACGGGGGGTGAGTCATGCACGGGGGGTCAGTCATGCTTGGGGGGTCAGTCATGCATGGGGGGTGAGTCATGCACGGGGGGTGAGTCATGCAAGGGGGGTGAGTCATGCACGGGGGGTGAGTCATGCACGGGGGGTGAGTCATGCATGGGGGGTGAGTCATGCATGGGGGGTCAGTCATGCATGGGGGGTGAGTCATGCACGGGGGGTGAGTCATGCTTGGGGGGTCAGTCATGCTTGGGGGGTCAGTCATGCATGGGGGGTGAGTCATGCACGGGGGGTGAGTCATGCATGGGGGGTCAGTCATGCTTGGGGGGTCAGTCATGCATGGGGGGTCAGTCATGCACGGGGGGTGAGTCATGCAAGGGGGGTGAGTCATGCACGGGGGGTGAGTCATGCACGGGGGGTGAGTCATGCACGGGGGGTGAGTCATGCATGGGGGGTGAGTCATGCATGGGGGGTCAGTCATGCATGGGGGGTGAGTCATGCACGGGGGGTGAGTCATGCTTGGGGGGTCAGTCATGCTTGGGGGGTCAGTCATGCATGGGGGGTGAGTCATGCACGGGGGGTCAGTCATGCATGGGGGGTCAGTCATGCATGGGGGGTCAGTCATGCATGGGGGGTCAGTCATGCACGGGGGGTGAGTCATGCACGGGGGGTGAGTCATGCATGGGGGGTGAGTCATGCATGGGGGGTCAGTCATGCATGGGGGGTCAGTCATGCATGGGGGGTGAGTCATGCACGGGGGGTGAGTCATGCAAGGGGGGTGAGTCATGCACGGGGGGTGAGTCATGCACGGGGGGTGAGTCATGCACGGGGGGTGAGTCATGCATGGGGGGTCAGTCATGCATGGGGGGTCAGTCATGCATGGGGGGTCAGTCATGCACGGGGGGTGAGTCATGCACGGGGGGTGAGTCATGCATGGGGGGTGAGTCATGCACGGGGGGTGAGTCATGCATGGGGGGTCAGTCATGCATGGGGGGTGAGTCATGCATGGGGGGTGAGTCATGCACGGGGGGTGAGTCATGCAAGGGGGGTGAGTCATGCATGGGGGGTGAGTCATGCATGGGGGGTCAGTCATGCATGGGGGGTCAGTCATGCACGGGGGGTGAGTCATGCATGGGGGGTCAGTCATGCTTGGGGGGTCAGTCATGCACGGGGGGTGAGTCATGCACGGGGGGTCAGTCATGCATGGGGGGTCAGTCATGCACGGGGGGTGAGTCATGCATGGGGGGTCAGTCATGCTTGGGGGGTCAGTCATGCATGGGGGGTCAGTCATGCACGGGGGGTGAGTCATGCACGGGGGGTGAGTCATGCATAGGGGGTCAGTCATGCACGGGGGGTGAGTCATGCATGGGGGGTCAGTCATGCATGGGGGGTGAGTCATGCATGGGGGGTGAGTCATGCACGGGGGGTGAGTCATGCATGGGGGGTCAGTCATGCATGGGGGGTGAGTCATGCACGGGGGGTGAGTCATGCATGGGGGGTGAGTCATGCACGGGGGGTGAGTCATGCATGGGGGGTCAGTCATGCATGGGGGGTGAGTCATGCATGGGGGGTGAGTCATGCACGGGGGGTGAGTCATGCATGGGGGGTCAGTCATGCATGGGGGGTGAGTCATGCACGGGGGGTGAGTCATGCAAGGGGGGTGAGTCATGCACGGGGGGTGAGTCATGCATGGGGGGTGAGTCATGCACGGGGGGTGAGTCATGCACGGGGGGTGAGTCATGCATGGGGGGTGAGTCATGCATGGGGGGTCAGTCATGCATGGGGGGTCAGTCATGCTTGGGGGGTGAGTCATGCACGGGGGGTGAGTCATGCATGGGGGGTGAGTCATGCACGGGGGGTGAGTCATGCATGGGGGGTGAGTCATGCATGGGGGGTCAGTCATGCATGGGGGGTGAGTCATGCACGGGGGGTGAGTCATGCATGGGGGGTCAGTCATGCTTGGGGGGTCAGTCATGCATGGGGGGTGAGTCATGCACGGGGGGTGAGTCATGCAAGGGGGGTGAGTCATGCATGGGGGGTCAGTCATGCTTGGGGGGTGAGTCATGCACGGGGGGTGAGTCATGCACGGGGGGTGAGTCATGCACGGGGGGTGAGTCATGCATGGGGGGTGAGTCATGCACGGGGGGTGAGTCATGCATGGGGGGTCAGTCATGCATGGGGGGTGAGTCATGCATGGGGGGTGAGTCATGCACGGGGGGTGAGTCATGCATGGGGGGTCAGTCATGCATGGGGGGTGAGTCATGCACGGGGGGTGAGTCATGCATGGGGGGTGAGTCATGCACGGGGGGTGAGTCATGCATGGGGGGTCAGTCATGCATGGGGGGTGAGTCATGCATGGGGGGTGAGTCATGCACGGGGGGTGAGTCATGCATGGGGGGTCAGTCATGCATGGGGGGTGAGTCATGCACGGGGGGTGAGTCATGCAAGGGGGGTGAGTCATGCACGGGGGGTGAGTCATGCATGGGGGGTGAGTCATGCACGGGGGGTGAGTCATGCACGGGGGGTGAGTCATGCATGGGGGGTGAGTCATGCATGGGGGGTCAGTCATGCATGGGGGGTCAGTCATGCTTGGGGGGTGAGTCATGCACGGGGGGTGAGTCATGCATGGGGGGTGAGTCATGCACGGGGGGTGAGTCATGCATGGGGGGTGAGTCATGCATGGGGGGTCAGTCATGCATGGGGGGTGAGTCATGCACGGGGGGTGAGTCATGCATGGGGGGTCAGTCATGCTTGGGGGGTCAGTCATGCATGGGGGGTGAGTCATGCACGGGGGGTGAGTCATGCAAGGGGGGTGAGTCATGCATGGGGGGTGAGTCATGCACGGGGGGTGAGTCATGCATGGGGGGTCAGTCATGCATGGGGGGTGAGTCATGCATGGGGGGTGAGTCATGCACGGGGGGTGAGTCATGCATGGGGGGTCAGTCATGCATGGGGGGTGAGTCATGCATGGGGGGTCAGTCATGCATGGGGGGTCAGTCATGCACGGGGGGTGAGTCATGCATGGGGGGTCAGTCATGCTTGGGGGGTCAGTCATGCACGGGGGGTGAGTCATGCACGGGGGGTCAGTCATGCATGGGGGGTCAGTCATGCACGGGGGGTGAGTCATGCATGGGGGGTCAGTCATGCTTGGGGGGTCAGTCATGCATGGGGGGTCAGTCATGCACGGGGGGTGAGTCATGCACGGGGGGTGAGTCATGCATAGGGGGTCAGTCATGCACGGGGGGTGAGTCATGCATGGGGGGTCAGTCATGCATTGGGGGTGAGTCATGCATGGGGGGTGAGTCATGCACGGGGGGTGAGTCATGCATGGGGGGTCAGTCATGCATGGGGGGTGAGTCATGCACGGGGGGTGAGTCATGCATGGGGGGTGAGTCATGCACGGGGGGTGAGTCATGCATGGGGGGTCAGTCATGCATGGGGGGTGAGTCATGCATGGGGGGTGAGTCATGCACGGGGGGTGAGTCATGCATGGGGGGTCAGTCATGCATGGGGGGTGAGTCATGCACGGGGGGTGAGTCATGCAAGGGGGGTGAGTCATGCACGGGGGGTGAGTCATGCATGGGGGGTGAGTCATGCACGGGGGGTGAGTCATGCACGGGGGGGTGAGTCATGCATGGGGGGTGAGTCATGCATGGGGGGTCAGTCATGCATGGGGGGTCAGTCATGCTTGGGGGGTGAGTCATGCACGGGGGGTGAGTCATGCATGGGGGGTGAGTCATGCACGGGGGGTGAGTCATGCATGGGGGGTGAGTCATGCATGGGGGGTCAGTCATGCATGGGGGGTGAGTCATGCACGGGGGGTGAGTCATGCATGGGGGGTCAGTCATGCTTGGGGGGTCAGTCATGCATGGGGGGTGAGTCATGCACGGGGGGTGAGTCATGCAAGGGGGGTGAGTCATGCATGGGGGGTCAGTCATGCTTGGGGGGTGAGTCATGCACGGGGGGTGAGTCATGCACGGGGGGTGAGTCATGCACGGGGGGTGAGTCATGCATGGGGGGTGAGTCATGCACGGGGGGTGAGTCATGCATGGGGGGTCAGTCATGCATGGGGGGTGAGTCATGCATGGGGGGTGAGTCATGCACGGGGGGTGAGTCATGCATGGGGGGTCAGTCATGCATGGGGGGTGAGTCATGCACGGGGGGTGAGTCATGCATGGGGGGTGAGTCATGCACGGGGGGTGAGTCATGCATGGGGGGTCAGTCATGCATGGGGGGTGAGTCATGCATGGGGGGTGAGTCATGCACGGGGGGTGAGTCATGCATGGGGGGTCAGTCATGCATGGGGGGTGAGTCATGCACGGGGGGTGAGTCATGCAAGGGGGGTGAGTCATGCACGGGGGGTGAGTCATGCATGGGGGGTGAGTCATGCACGGGGGGTGAGTCATGCACGGGGGGGTGAGTCATGCATGGGGGGTGAGTCATGCATGGGGGGTCAGTCATGCATGGGGGGTCAGTCATGCTTGGGGGGTGAGTCATGCACGGGGGGTGAGTCATGCATGGGGGGTGAGTCATGCACGGGGGGTGAGTCATGCATGGGGGGTGAGTCATGCATGGGGGGTCAGTCATGCATGGGGGGTGAGTCATGCACGGGGGGTGAGTCATGCATGGGGGGTCAGTCATGCTTGGGGGGTCAGTCATGCATGGGGGGTGAGTCATGCACGGGGGGTGAGTCATGCAAGGGGGGTGAGTCATGCATGGGGGGGTGAGTCATGCACGGGGGGTGAGTCATGCATGGGGGTGAGTCATGCACGGGGGGTGAGTCATGCATGGGGGGTGAGTCATGCACGGGGGGTGAGTCATGCATGGGGGGTGAGTCATGCATGGGGGGTGAGTCATGCACGGGGGGTGAGTCATGCAAGGGGGGTGAGTCATGCATGGGGGGTCAGTCATGCATGGGGGGGTGAGTCATGCATGGGGGGTGAGTCATGCACGGGGGGTGAGTCATGCATGGGGGGTCAGTCATGCATGGGGGGTGAGTCATGCATGGGGGGTGAGTCATGCACGGGGGGTGAGTCATGCATGGGGGGTCAGTCATGCATGGGGGGTGAGTCATGCACGGGGGGTGAGTCATGCAAGGGGGGTGAGTCATGCATGGGGGGTGAGTCATGCACGGGGGGTGAGTCATGCAAGGGGGGGTGAGTCATGCATGGGGGGTGAGTCATGCACGGGGGGTGAGTCATGCATGGGGGGTGAGTCATGCATCGGGGGGTGAGTCATGCATGGGGGGGTCAGTCATGCATGGGGGGTGAGTCATGCATGGGGGGTGAGTCATGCACGGGGGGTGAGTCATGCATGGGGGGTGAGTCATGCATGGGGGGTCAGTCATGCATGGGGGGTGAGTCATGCAAGGGGGGTGAGTCATGCATGGGGGGTGAGTCATGCACGGGGGGTGAGTCATGCACGGGGGGTGAGTCATGCACGGGGGGTGAGTCATGCATGGGGGGTGAGTCATGCATGGGGGGTCAGTCATGCACGGGGGGTGAGTCATGCATGGGGGGTGAGTCATGCATGGGGGGTGAGTCATGCATGGGGGGTCAGTCATGCATGGGGGGTCAGTCATGCATGGGGGGTGAGTCATGCATGGGGGGTGAGTCATGCACGGGGGGTGAGTCATGCATGGGGGTGAGTCATGCACGGGGGGTCAGTCATGCACGGGGGGTCAGTCATGCTTGGGGGGTCAGTCATGCATGGGGGGTGAGTCATGCACGGGGGGTGAGTCATGCATGGGGGTGAGTCATGCATGGGGGGTCAGTCATGCTTGGGGGGTCAGTCATGCATGGGGGGTGAGTCATGCACAGGGGGTGAGTCATGCATGGGGGGTGAGTCATGCATGGGGGGTCAGTCATGCATGGGGGGTGAGTCATGCAAGGGGGGTGAGTCATGCATGGGGGGTGAGTCATGCACGGGGGGTGAGTCATGCACGGGGGGTGAGTCATGCACGGGGGGTGAGTCATGCATGGGGGGTGAGTCATGCATGGGGGGTCAGTCATGCACGGGGGGTGAGTCATGCATGGGGGGTGAGTCATGCACGGGGGGTGAGTCATGCAAGGGGGGTGAGTCATGCACGGGGGGTGAGTCATGCATGGGGGGTGAGTCATGCATCGGGGGTGAGTCATGCACGGGGGGTGAGTCATGCACGGGGGGTGAGTCATGCACGGGGGGTGAGTCATGCATGGGGGGTCAGTCATGCATGGGGGTGAGTCATGCATGGGGGGTGAGTCATGCATGGGGGTCAGTCATGCATGGGGGGTCAGTCATGCATGGGGGGTGAGTCATGCATGGGGGGTGAGTCATGCACGGGGGGTCAGTCATGCATGGGGGGTCAGTCATGCATGGGGGGTGAGTCATGCAAGGGGGGTGAGTCATGCATGGGGGGTGAGTCATGCACGGGGGGTGAGTCATGCACGGGGGGTGAGTCATGCATGGGGGGTGAGTCATGCATGGGGGGTCAGTCATGCATGGGGGGTCAGTCATGCATGGGGGGTGAGTCATGCACGGGGGGTGAGTCATGCATGGGGGGTCAGTCATGCATGGGGGGTGAGTCATGCATGGGGGGTGAGTCATGCACGGGGGGTGAGTCATGCATGGGGGGTCAGTCATGCATGGGGGGTGAGTCATGCACGGGGGGTGAGTCATGCAAGGGGGGTGAGTCATGCACGGGGGGTGAGTCATGCATGGGGGGTGAGTCATGCACGGGGGGTGAGTCATGCACGGGGGGGTGAGTCATGCATGGGGTGAGTCATGCATGGGGGGTCAGTCATGCATGGGGGGTCAGTCATGCTTGGGGGGTGAGTCATGCACGGGGGGTGAGTCATGCATGGGGGGTGAGTCATGCACGGGGGGTGAGTCATGCATGGGGGGTGAGTCATGCATGGGGGGTCAGTCATGCATGGGGGGTGAGTCATGCACGGGGGGTGAGTCATGCATGGGGGGTCAGTCATGCTTGGGGGGTCAGTCATGCATGGGGGGTGAGTCATGCACGGGGGGTGAGTCATGCAAGGGGGGTGAGTCATGCATGGGGGGTCAGTCATGCTTGGGGGGTGAGTCATGCACGGGGGGTGAGTCATGCACGGGGGGTGAGTCATGCACGGGGGGTGAGTCATGCATGGGGGGTGAGTCATGCACGGGGGGTGAGTCATGCATGGGGGGTCAGTCATGCATGGGGGGTGAGTCATGCATGGGGGGTGAGTCATGCACGGGGGGTGAGTCATGCATGGGGGGTCAGTCATGCATGGGGGGTGAGTCATGCACGGGGGGTGAGTCATGCATGGGGGGTGAGTCATGCACGGGGGGTGAGTCATGCATGGGGGGTCAGTCATGCATGGGGGGGTGAGTCATGCATGGGGGGTGAGTCATGCACGGGGGGTGAGTCATGCATGGGGGGTCAGTCATGCATGGGGGGTGAGTCATGCACGGGGGGTGAGTCATGCAAGGGGGGTGAGTCATGCACGGGGGGTGAGTCATGCATGGGGGGTGAGTCATGCACGGGGGGGTGAGTCATGCACGGGGGGGTGAGTCATGCATGGGGGGTGAGTCATGCATGGGGGGTCAGTCATGCATGGGGGGTCAGTCATGCTTGGGGGGTGAGTCATGCACGGGGGGTGAGTCATGCATGGGGGGTGAGTCATGCACGGGGGGTGAGTCATGCATGGGGGGTGAGTCATGCATGGGGGGTCAGTCATGCATGGGGGGTGAGTCATGCACGGGGGGTGAGTCATGCATGGGGGGTCAGTCATGCTTGGGGGGTCAGTCATGCATGGGGGGTGAGTCATGCACGGGGGGTGAGTCATGCAAGGGGGGTGAGTCATGCATGGGGGGTGAGTCATGCACGGGGGGTGAGTCATGCACGGGGGGTGAGTCATGCATGGGGGGTGAGTCATGCACGGGGGGTGAGTCATGCATGGGGGGTGAGTCATGCATGGGGGGTGAGTCATGCACGGGGGGTGAGTCATGCAAGGGGGGTGAGTCATGCATGGGGGGTCAGTCATGCATGGGGGGTGAGTCATGCATGGGGGGTGAGTCATGCACGGGGGGTGAGTCATGCATGGGGGGTCAGTCATGCATGGGGGGTGAGTCATGCATGGGGGGTGAGTCATGCACGGGGGGTGAGTCATGCATGGGGGGTCAGTCATGCATGGGGGGTGAGTCATGCACGGGGGGTGAGTCATGCAAGGGGGGTGAGTCATGCATGGGGGGTGAGTCATGCACGGGGGGTGAGTCATGCAAGGGGGGTGAGTCATGCATGGGGGGTGAGTCATGCACGGGGGGGTGAGTCATGCATGGGGGGTGAGTCATGCACGGGGGGTGAGTCATGCATGGGGGGTCAGTCATGCATGGGGGGTGAGTCATGCATGGGGGGTGAGTCATGCACGGGGGGTGAGTCATGCATGGGGGGTGAGTCATGCATGGGGGGTCAGTCATGCATGGGGGGTGAGTCATGCAAGGGGGGTGAGTCATGCATGGGGGGTGAGTCATGCACGGGGGGTGAGTCATGCACGGGGGGTGAGTCATGCACGGGGGGTGAGTCATGCATGGGGGGTGAGTCATGCATGGGGGGTCAGTCATGCACGGGGGGTGAGTCATGCATGGGGGGTGAGTCATGCATGGGGGGTGAGTCATGCATGGGGGGTCAGTCATGCATGGGGGGTCAGTCATGCATGGGGGGTGAGTCATGCATGGGGGGTGAGTCATGCACGGGGGGTGAGTCATGCATGGGGGGGAGTCCTGCACGGGGGGTCAGTCATGCACGGGGGGTCAGTCATGCTTGGGGGGTCAGTCATGCATGGGGGGTGAGTCATGCACGGGGGGTGAGTCATGCATGGGGGGTGAGTCATGCATGGGGGGTCAGTCATGCTTGGGGGGTCAGTCATGCATGGGGGGTGAGTCATGCACAGGGGGTGAGTCATGCATGGGGGGTGAGTCATGCATGGGGGGTCAGTCATGCATGGGGGGTGAGTCATGCAAGGGGGGTGAGTCATGCATGGGGGGTGAGTCATGCACGGGGGGTGAGTCATGCACGGGGGGTGAGTCATGCACGGGGGGTGAGTCATGCATGGGGGGTGAGTCATGCATGGGGGGTCAGTCATGCACGGGGGGTGAGTCATGCATGGGGGGTGAGTCATGCACGGGGGGTGAGTCATGCAAGGGGGGTGAGTCATGCACGGGGGGTGAGTCATGCATGGGGGGTGAGTCATGCATCGGGGGTGAGTCATGCACGGGGGGTGAGTCATGCACGGGGGGTGAGTCATGCACGGGGGGTGAGTCATGCATGGGGGGTCAGTCATGCATGGGGGGTGAGTCATGCATGGGGGGTGAGTCATGCATGGGGGGTCAGTCATGCATGGGGGGTCAGTCATGCATGGGGGGTGAGTCATGCATGGGGGGTGAGTCATGCACGGGGGGTCAGTCATGCATGGGGGGTCAGTCATGCATGGGGGGGTGAGTCATGCAAGGGGGGTGAGTCATGCATGGGGGGGTGAGTCATGCACGGGGGGTGAGTCATGCACGGGGGGTGAGTCATGCATGGGGGGGTGAGTCATGCATGGGGGGTCAGTCATGCATGGGGGGTCAGTCATGCATGGGGGGTGAGTCATGCACGGGGGGTGAGTCATGCATGGGGGTCAGTCATGCATGGGGGGTCAGTCATGCATGGGGGGTGAGTCATGCATGGGGGGTGAGTCATGCACGGGGGGTCAGTCATGCATGGGGGGTCAGTCATGCATGGGGGGTGAGTCATGCATGGGGGGTGAGTCATGCACGGGGGGTGAGTCATGCACGGGGGGTGAGTCATGCACGGGGGGTGAGTCATGCATGGGGGGTGAGTCATGCATGGGGGGTGAGTCATGCATGGGGGGTGAGTCATGCACGGGGGGTCAGTCATGCATGGGGGGTCAGTCATGCATGGGGGGTGAGTCATGCATGGGGGGTGAGTCATGCACGGGGGGTCAGTCATGCATGGGGGGTCAGTCATGCATGGGGGGTGAGTCATGCATGGGGGGTGAGTCATGCATGGGGGGTGAGTCATGCACGGGGGGTGAGTCATGCACGGGGGGTGAGTCATGCATGGGGGGTGAGTCATGCATGGGGGGTCAGTCATGCATGGGGGGTCAGTCATGCATGGGGGGTCAGTCATGCATGGGGGGTGAGTTATGCATGGGGGGTGAGTCATGCATGGGGGGTGAGTCATGCATGGGGGGTGAGCGTGCGAGCGAGCGAGCGAGTGAGGGAGCACGGAGGGTGAGGGAGCGAGAGAGAGAGGGATGCGTTGACAAGTCGAGTGAGTGCATCAAGTCATTAGAATTAATATGTTGTAGGTACCTTGCCTGCCCCCTTTCACTCCCAAGCAAATCCGTCCTTGGAATTCCTTACCCCCCCCATCCCTCCCCCCCTCCTGCGTGCATGGGTGCAGCACACTGACGCGGCCGGTGGGGTTTGCGGAGTGCATAAGGGCGATAAAGGAGCATGCATTCGCCGTGTCGGACTACCCTGTCATCATCACCCTTGAGGACCACCTCCCGCCCCCCCTGCAGGCCATCGCTGCTCAGGTAGGCTGCAGGCCACCGCGGCTCAGGTGATGCATCTGGTCGTTCCATGCTCTTTGCCTAGCTGATTCATATTCCTCTCACCCTACTCCCCACCGCCCTCTCCTCCTCCTCATAACCAGGCCAGAACCCTCTTTCCCACCCACTCCACCTACCCCCCTCTCTTCCCTTCCCCCCTCCCCCCACCAGGCGATGTGTGAGGTGCTGGGCGACATGCTGTACATCCCCGAGGACGAGTCCCCCCAGGGCGACTTCCCCTCGCCCTACGCGCTGCGCCGCCGCATCCTCGTCTCCACACAGCCGCCCAAGGGACCCAAGGAGCTCTCCACTGTCGTCGCCCCTGCCCCTGCCGGATCCTTCCGGGAAGCTGCAAGCGTTGAACCATGCTCTCCCCGTTGTGTGTCCCCACGTAATCGTGATGTGGCACGTGTCGACTCGCCGACTGACATGGCACGTGCTTCCTCATCTGCTGATGTGGCACGTGCTCCTCCATCGGATGATGTGGCAAGTGGTCGTGTTGCTAATGGTGTGGTTCGCACTGGACCCGCTGCTGACGTGGCATGCAACTCCCATGGTGCTGAGCTGGCACGGGGCCAGGCGGACTGGCTATCATTCAGAGACCTGGCGGAGGGGTCATCATCTGCAACGCTGGCTTCAGGTGCTGCTGCTGCTGATGTGGCACATCCTCTACCACCCTCACATGCGCCTGCCAGCATCAGCCAGCAATCAGGCATAGAGGAGCTGGCGGATGACCCAGGAGGAAGGGGAGGAGGTGCAAGGGTAGCGGGGGAGGGCAGTGGCGCAGAGGCAGGGACAGCAGAAGGGGGGAGTGGCCGGGCGCGGGGGGGGCGGGAGTCCTTTTCCTTCCCCGTGGCGGCAGAGGGGGGCGAGGGTGGGGGGGGCGACCCCAGTGTGGCGCTGGGGGCGGCGCTGAGCATGGGCAGCAGGCACCGCAGCAGCAGAGGCAGTCCGGTGGGCGGGTCAGGAGGGTTTTCTCGGCGCATCAGAGGGAGTCCGTCTCGAGGCAGTGCCAGTGGGCTGGGGTGGGGCAGCATGGGGCACAGCATGGGGCACAGCATGGGGCACAGCATGGGGCACAGCATGGGGCACAGCATGGGGCAGAGCATGGGGCAGAGCAGTGGGCAGTGGTCGGGGCGGTCGTTGCAGCTGCACCAGGTGGACGAGACGCACCTCCACCAGGTTCGTACTGCCTCGCCCGCTCCACGTGCCCCTCTCTGCATCCCCTCCGTTCCAGTGCCTTGCACGCAAATGTATCGCCCAGTTGTGAAAGGACTGGCTCTCCTGTACCTGCCACAGGCATGCCCTCAATGCCGACCTTCCCTCCTACTGTTCGCCCCCACTCCTGCTGCTCCTCCATGTGCCCTGCCCGGCAGGTGGAGGTGCAGTGGACGCAGGAGGACGCGGCGGAGGAGGCAGCGGAGGACGCGCTGACGGGCAAGGTGCCGCAGTACCGGCGCCTCATCTCCATCCCGGGCGGCAAGCTCAAGGGAGGCAGCGTGGAGGAGGGGCTCACCGCGGGGCACGGCGAGGGCGTGCGCCGCATCTCGCTGTCCGAGACCCAGCTCGCCACCGCTGCGCGCTCCTCGCCCCACCTCCTGCTCAGGTGCGTGCCCTGCACGAGGACAGGCGGACTGGGAAGGACGGGGCGGACGGTTGAAAGGGAGGCGGAGCGAAGGGCGAGGTTGGAGGCATGATGGTCGTGGAGTGGAGTGGAGTGTGCACGGCAGACATATGAAGGACCGTGTGCGGGAAGAGTTTCACTCACCAGCTATGCCATGCGCACACCCTTCTCCCCCGCGCACAGCTCTCCGTGTTGGGAGTCCGTGCAGATGCATGCCAGCAACGCTTCCCCACTCTCTTCCCCTCGTCCCTCATCCCTCCCCATGCCATGCCCCATGCTCAGGTTCACGCAGCGCCATCTGCTGCGCATCTACCCGTTCGGCCTGCGAGTCACGTCATCCAATTACAACCCCATGCAGGTGCCGCTCCTGCCACTCCACCCCCCACCACCCATCGTTGCCGCTCTGTTCGTTGCATTGCATGTAACATGGCGAGAAACCACATGTGCACATCCACCATATTACATGCCGCGCTCAGCTGCCGGGCGTCTCTCGCGCTGTTTCTCTTGGTGGTGCTCTGGGTTATGCCCACGGGGCCTGCTGTCAGCCATGTGACTGTCTCTCAACCCACCCCGCCCCTCCTCCCTCCCCCTGGCCACGGCACTATAGGCATGGCTGCACGGGGCGCAGATGGTGGCGATGAACATGCAGGGGTACGGCCGCCCGCTGTGGCTCGTGCACGGCTTCTTCTGCGCCAACGGCGCCTGTGGCTATGTCAGGAAGCCCGCCTGCCTCATGGGGGCCGTGGAGGGGCAGGCGGAGGGGCAGGAGAGGGAGAGGGGGGGCGGGGGGCAGGATAGTGTGCCATACAACCCCCAGGCAGTGCGCCCCGTGGAGCTCTTTCTTAGGGTGCGTGCGGCTGCCCTTCCATATCCTCCCACACTGGCCATGGCATGAGCATGTGTACAGTGTGCATCACTTGCCCGCTGGGCCCATGTGCTGCGCTCATTCCCACCCATCACGGCCGCCATCCCCATGTGCACCACCACCCAACCCACCGCTCCGCCTCTGACCCAGGCACTCTCTGCTCTGTGCCTTCTCTTCATCCCCCTCCTCCTCCCCCTCCCCCCCGTGTGTGTGCGGGCGGCAGGTGCATGTGATCCTGGGCACGGGGTGGTACACGCGCTTCGCCCACAACAACTTTGATGCTGGCGGGCCCAGCCTGCTGTGCCGGGTGCGTGCATGGCATGGCATGGCATGGCAATGGTGTCTCATGGGCCCAGCGCCACAGGGATGTACGGTCAGTGGCTTTCGGCCTTGCATTGAGTGTTTCGTCCTCACCCTCCCCTGTGCACGCCATGCACCATCCACCATGCACCGTCCACCATGCACCATCCACCATGCACCATCCACCATGCACCGTCCACCATGCACCATCCACCATGCACCATGCACCACATGTGTGCACACCTCTCTCACCCTGCTCCTTCTCCCGCGTCCACGGCACGGGGGGCGCACAGGTGGCGGTGGAGGGGGCGCCGGCCGACGTGGGGGAGAGGCGGTTGGACATCAGGGTGGGCGAGTGGAACCCCTGCTGGGACGACACAGTGCTGCTCTTCCCCCTCACCCTCCCCCAACTCGCCCTGCTCTGCTTTGAGGTCTGCTTTGAAGTCCCCGTTGAGCTCCCCTGCACCTGCTCTCTTTCTCCATGACTTTGTTCTGCCCTGCCGGCCGTTTTTCAAGAAAGATCGTAATCCTTCATCCATCGTCCCCCTTTCAACTACCTCCGCCCCTCCCCCCTTTCCCTTCCTCCCCCCCTCCCCAGGCCTCCCTCATTGCTGTATCGTGCATCCATTCCTTTTTCCGTGAGCTCAAGTTTCTCTCTTCCTGTGGCCCTCCCTTGGTACCACACAGGTTAAAGTGCTGGGCCTTTCGTCATCTTGCTACCCATTTTTTGACTATGTGAGCTGTTCTAACCCCCCTCTGCATTGCTAACGATATGGAGTGTTTTAGCTCTGTTACATTTGCCCTTTGATGTTTGTACTCTCATCGTCATTGCATGTGCACTTTGTGCTGTGAACCCCTAGCACTTTGGTCTGATTATGTCTGTTCAACCCCTGTGCTCTGTTGCTCCGTGCCACAGCTGTTTGAGAAGAATCTGTACCAGGACGACTTTGGAGGGCAGGTGGTGCTGCCAGTGATGGGTCTGAGGCCTGGCTTTCGCTGTGTGCCGCTGTACGACCGCAAGGGCAGGCCCATGGTGGGGGAGCAAGGTGACGAGGCCGAGGGGCCACGGCTGCTGTGCCAGTTCGAGCTGCTGAAACCAGGGGAGGAGAAGGAACCGCAGAATAGGGTTCCCAAGTCGTCCACTTGGACGGGAGGAGCCGCTAGCAGCAAGATAGGCAGTGAGCCATCACCCCAAAGACCAAAGATTGGCCGAAGCCATGAGATTTGATGGATCCTTGCATTGGCGAAGCTTCCATATGATAACTACTCAAAAGGATGTATTGGTGGCTGCATTTTACTGATTATACAAAGGCCGTACTAACAAAATGAGAGTGAGAGGCAGGCAGCAGCACCTTGGTGGCTAATGGCATGCATTGTAAGGTAAAACATTATGGTTCAGAGTCTGAGATCCAGAAGGTGGAATGTGTAACATTTGGGCATATGTGGTCAACATCCACCCACGTGGAGGGCTGCCGTTATTCCTGCGACGCACCTCGATGTCGCCACTCGTTCGCCACCACCTCGATTTCACCGTCACTGTGCCACTGCGCCTGCGCTGAATTGTGTGATGTGAAGTCTCCCCATTCTGCAACATCTCGAGTTTTTCACCAGGTGCTTGCTTGATCAGCACTGCTGACAGCCATGGCGTCCTCTCTCGCATTCCACGCTACCACGCCGCTGCTCGCGGAGTGCTCTAACAACCATAGAGGGTTGAATAATAATGTCCCGCGTGACTTGCACCAGGCGAACCCGAGTGCACATGGAAGGAAAGTCTATGCATTGTCCAACAGGCGTCGGGGTAGACATCTCTCGTTTGCCTCGCTTCTGAGCCCTGGTAGGTCCCGATATATCCAATTTAGGCTTGAGTGTGATCAATTTCCGACTCCCAATAGCCAGGCTCGGCCAGTACGGCCTTTGTGCACGTAATGCTACTATGCTCGGTGTTAGTCCTTGACAGGGAGTCCCCTGTGTGTATGAACCGGCAAATTACAAAATGAGTATGATTTCTGTCAACCGTGTGTCTGATGGAAGGCTACTGAATCTAGCCACGCTTGGAGGAGCAATGCTCCCTGATAGTGGATCAAGCCCACATGCAATGTCCGCCTTCCTTACCACGCCGTGCCATTTCGAACCCAATTCCCGCGGCCTGGCCACTCCCTGGCCTGTCAGGCATCGCAGCTCCGCTGGAGAAGCGAGCACCGCCTCGAGGGGGGGCGGTGGCGGTGAAAGCAGCTGCCGCAGATGGTGCTGATGCGGAAGGCGCGGGTGGGGGGGCGGGCGAGGCAGCAGCCCCGCGGGTGGGCGCGGTGCTGTTCGACATGGACGGCGTGCTGTGCGACAGCGAGGACCCCTCGCGCGAAGCTGCAGTAGCGCTCTTCGCGGAGATGGGCGTGGCCGTGACGGCTCAAGACTTCGTCCCCTTCATGGGAACAGGCACGTGACAGCGACCCTGAGCCAGTGAATCGAGTTGTGTAAAATTTTCCTCCAGACATAAACTTCTGGATTCACCGCATCGATATGGAATGTCCAGGTTCTGTCTGTCTGGTGAAGGAGCTTCTGTAGGTGCCTGATCATGAGACCAGTAGCGATCCGTGCAATGCAACCAGAGTGGCTGAATGCAGCTGATTTTCTGTTTTTGTTTTAGGTGAAGCCAACTTCCTGGGCGGTGTGGCGCGGGTGTATGGAGTGGAGGGGTTTGATACGGACAAGGCCAAGAAGAGATTCTTCGAGATCTACATTGACCGGGTCAGACCCAGTCTCAACACTGACATCTGCGATTCTATTTCTACTCTAACCTGCCAGAATGTGTTTTAGCACAGCACTAACCTATCACACTTAACAGACAATCAAAGCTTGCTCTAGCAATTACTTCTAGTGATGTCTTCACCGCTATCATCGATCCCGTTCACCTTCGCTCACGCCACCCCTCTCGCCTCCCCTACAGTTCGCGCGCCCCAATTCAGGCATTGGTTTCCCCGGTGCGCTCAAGCTAGTGGAGCAGGTGAGGCAGATGCCGCTGTGCCTGTGAGCAATAGAGTGGACGGTTGTGAGTCAGTGAGGGATTTGGTGCTTTCCATTTGGGGGGCTGGGTACTCAAGAAACACGACAACCTGAACAACCGTGTAGCTTCTATGGTCCTTGCTTGAGTCCTCCTGCACGTTTCCTGCCTGTTCCCATGCCTTGGCCTTCTATCATCTGGTGCGTATGCCCTCCCTGGTCCGCGCTCTCTCTCCCTCCCCAGTGTCGGGTGGCAGGGCTGAGGACGGCTGTGGCGTCCAGTGCGGATCGAGTGAAGGTGGACGCCAACCTCGCAGCTGCAGGCATCCCGCAAGACAGGTGCGTGCGCCAGTGTGTGTGTGTGTGAAGTGAAGAGGGAGAGTTCGCTCATTTGCTCGTGCGTGGGGGACACCGAAGCTGGGACCTGGATGTGTGGACGCAGTGGAGGGCAAGAGCGCGCCTGGCCATGCCGTGTGCCATCGGAGCATTCACGTTCTGCCTCCATCTGCCTGCTGCATGCATGGCCTGCCCTGTTCACCCCATGCCACCCCCCCAGGTTTGACGCCATAGTATCGGCGGACAAGTTTGAGCGCCTCAAGCCGGCGCCCGACATCTTCTTCGCCGCCGCCAAGGAGCTGGGCGTGCCCACGGATCAGGTGACAGCACAGCGGCTGGGGGCTGTTCCTGGGGAAGAGGCTGACAGCACCAGGCAGGGAGGGAGGGGTACGGGAGCGAGGCTTTTGTAGTTATTGCTGTATTTCTGGCTAAAACTGCTAGCCTCTTTCGTTTCTTCTGTCTCACTTGCTGCTCGTGTCGTGATGGATTGTCTCCCCGCCCCGCAGTGTGTGGTGATTGAAGATGCTCTCGCGGGTGTGCAGGCAGCCACAGCTGCTGGCATGAGGTGCGTGGGCTTACATGAGCGTGCTGAGGTGAGTCAGGGAATGTTACCGTGGAAGCAGAGGCGTGAGAGAAGGAAACTCAACATGCCACGCCCCATTGCTTCTCTGCACTCTCCACACCAGCTAACTTCACAACCTATGGTCCTTTCGTTTCATAGAAACTGACTCCTTCCTGCTTTCGCTCTTACTTGCATACACACATCTGCCTGGTTGCCCTTTGAACCCCCATAATCCCTCTTCCCCTTCCACTTTCTCCCACTCCCCCTCCCCATTCCCCTTTCTCCCCCCCTCTCCCCCCCCCCCCTCAGGTCCATAGCCGTGACCACCACCCTGTCAGCTCCCAGCCTTGCCGCTGGCCGCCCCGCTCTCATTCGCCGAGACATCGCTGACATCAGCGTGGCTGACATCACCTCTCTGCACTACCCTGAAGATGAAGATGAAGACGACGGCTCATCTGGCGCTGCCGCCACGGCTGCCACGGCTGATGGTAGCTCGTAGCCAGCCTGTGCCTCCTGCAGGCCGCCCCTGTCGCTTGCTTGTTTGCTAGCATCGAGCAGTACGGTTGCAGCTACCAGTCTTGTGTGCACAGTAGCGGGCCTGATCCTAGGTTGCCCACAGTATTGGGTAGATATGGGCCATAGCCACGTGACACTAGTGTGCAGCTGTGATCTGCTGCTTCCTGACAAGCAGCCTTATGCTGTTGACAATGACTCGCATTATGTTATGAATTGCCTCGCCTTCTCTTTCACGCTCACTGCCTCGTACCCATGTTGCCTGCTTGCCCATCTCCGTGACTTTTCATATCATCTCTTCCCTCACACATCCGTATGTTCGACAAATGCTTTCACTGTGATTCCTTGTTGTCCGCCATTATGTATTCTTTCTGACCTTTCTCTCGCCCCTCGTCCATGTTCTCATCTCATTGTCTCTCGCCCTTCTCCCTGGGGGCCCCAGCAGCATCACTGACTCCGCCCGATGAGGCAGGCGCATCAGGGGAGAGCAAGGGGCTGTGGGCGTCCATAGACGAGCCTCTTCCCCTGCCGGGCGGGTGAGTTGCCAGGGGGAAGGGTGAGTGCGTGGAATGGCAGGGGTACCAGTGGTGTACCTGTAATCATGAAGCCGTCAGCCCATTACCACGCTACTGTATGATACAAGCTCATACATCCTCACCGCCCGTGTGCTGTGCGTGCGCCCGGCATGGCAGCATGAGGGTGACGCGGCGGGATGCCATACGGTACAGCAGCCTGGCCATGGGGCTCGCCACCACCGCCTTCACTCTCGACAACCTCAAGGTCCGCCCCTCCCCCTCCTCCCCCTCTAGGCTCTGCCTCCCCTCACCCAAACGTCCCCATCTCCACCCACTGCCCTCTCCTCATGCCTCCCGCCCATTTACACCCCCCTCCCCACCTCACCACCTCCCCACCTCCTCACCCCCTTTCCCCCGTACCCGTCTCCCCTCCCCGTTGTGTGCACGTCGCCCCCAGGCGTTCTCCTACGCGTCCCCCAAGGCGCTGCTCAACATGCTCACGGGCACGGCTGTGCCGCCAGCCAATGCGGCGGGGCCACGTGGGCTCGTGAAGTACATCCAGCAGCTCGACCGCAGGTGCGTGCAGCAGCTGGACCGCAGGTGCGTGCATGCCACCGCATCAGCCATGCGGAGAGGGTGGGTGGTTTAGGGGGTGCTGGAGGTGTTTCGGTGTAGGAAACGAGATGTGTAAACAAGGCAAGGCAGCATCAGCTGTGCCATCGAGAGGCCCCGTTCGTCACCACCACATCTGCCAACTGTGTGCTGCCTCCCTCCCTACCGTCTCTGCCCTCCCCCCCTCCCTACACTCAGCAGTGGTGCGGCTGACGTGGTGCCGGACTTTGAGCCGCGCCTGCAGTGGCTCAACAGCGCCCCCCTCTCCTTCGACCGCGTGCGTAGCTCCCCCCTTGCCCTTGCTCCTTCTTCCACTTCACATGCCCCGCACACCTAACATGTTCCACATAGCCCCAGATTCCGCCTATGACCTTCTCCCTCAACGTTTCTACCCCCTCCCCCACCCCCGCATTCCAAACCCCCCCCTGTGCGTGGGAGCAGGAGCTGCGCGGCAAGGTGGTGCTGCTGGACTTCTGGACCTACTGCTGCATCAACTGCATGCACGTCCTGCCGGACCTCGCCGCCCTCGAAAAGAAATACGAGGGCCAACCAGTAAGGGAAAAGGAGTGATCTGTGCATTTCCTGGCTGTCCTGTCCCGGCTGTGCATACAGAAAGTGTAGGGGATGCAGCCGTGCATGTGAGAAACCCCTTGTTACATTTTCACTCTCGTGTGTGCTTGTCCCCTTGTCCCTCGGTTCTGTGCATGGGCCCCTGGCGCCAGGTGGTGGTGGTGGGCGTGCACTCGGCCAAGTTTGACAACGAGAAGGACCTGCAGGCCATCCGCAATGCCATGCTCCGATATGATGTCGCCCACCCGGTATGCTGTGCTTGCTGCTTCTCCCTCCCACATGTTCCCTCAACGCCCTGCAACGCGCAGTCTCTGCACCACAACCACCTGGGCCACAGACTGCCTTTGGAGATTCTGAACAACATTAGCCAGTGCCTCACGTTTGTGTGGTGGGCTTGATTGTGTGTGTGGTTGGCGTGGCTTGGTGTGTGCTGGGCAGGTGGTGAACGACGGGGACATGCTCATGTGGAGGGCGCTGGGCGTGTCATCATGGCCCACACTGGCCCTCGTGGCGCCCACAGGGCGGCTCATCGCCATGGTACCGGGGGAGGGCAACCGCCAGCTGTTTGACGACCTCATAGCCGCCTCCCTCGAGTACTACGGCGCCAAGGGCGCGCTCAGCGATGCGCCCATCCCGGTGGCGCTGGAGCGCAGCCGGGACCAGCGCGTGGTGGCGTCGCCACTGCGCTTCCCCGGCAAGCTGGCGTCGGACCTGGCCAACGGGCGCCTCTTCATATCCGACTCCAACAATCACCGCATCGTCCGTCCCCCCGCCCCGCCTCGCCTACCTGCTACCGGCTGCGCTCCTTTCTCTCTGTAGCCTAGCTGCGCATAAAAGATTCACATTGACGCGCCTCCATGACCCCCCACCCCCCAACCGGCCCACTGTGCCCCGTTGTTGCTGGTGCTGGCGTGTGCATGCAGGTGGTGACGGACCTGCAAGGGAACTTCCTGGCGCAGATAGGAGGGGCGGGCGATGGGCTCGTGGATGGGTCGTTCGAGACGGCTCAGTTCAACAGGCCGCAGGGCGTGGCGTATGATCCTTCTCGGAACCTTCTGTTTGTGGCGGACACAGAGAATCATGCCCTGCGGTAAGAGTGTAGCGAGGAAGGCAGGTTTCGGAACATGGGTGATGACAGACCCATGTCAGTTATTAATGCCGCACTGCCAGCTGTTGGTAGAGGCTCACATGGCTGCGCCCACACTTGCCTGCACACGTGCTTGCAAAGCCATTTGAGTGCTTGTCTTCACTCCCCCAAACTACCCGTCTCTCCGCCCCTGCTGTCCTGTGTGCCTGTGTGCGCGTGGCATGTGGCATGCGGGCAGGCAAGTGGACCTGGTGGGCGAGACAGTGACCACGGTGGCGGGGGATGGGCGCAAGGGGCAGGACTACAAGGGCGGGGCCAGGGGCAGAGAGCAGGTGAGGCCAAGTCAGGCACGAGGAGGGGCGAGGCTGCTGTGTGCACGTGCTGCCATGGTGGCTGCATGCCCTGCTGCCGTGCTCCCAGCAGTTCCCGTTCTCCACTTCCGGCGTCTCCTCCCTCATGCATGATCACGCACCCCTTCAACCCCGCCCCCCTGCATGCGTGAGTGCACCATGCCTGGCAGGCATTGAACTCGCCGTGGGACGTGGAGCTGACGGGGGACAGGGCGGCAGTGATGGTGGCCATGGCGGGGCAGCATCAGATCTGGCGGTTCGATCTCGACACGGGGCGATGTGTGGTGTTCAGCGGGTCGGGCTACGAGAGGAACCAGAACGGCCGAATGTGAGTGCAAGCCTTTCGTAAAGGCGCCATTCCCCCATGGCGGTGTCAACACATCCATCTGCCTTCCCTTACTTCCGCCCCCTTCTCCCGACTCGCCGTGCTCCTTGCTGTTCTACCCCCACCCCACCACCCTCCTCTCCCCAGGGGCTCTGACACGGCGTATGCCCAGCCGTCTGGGCTGTCCCTGGCCCCAGGTGAGCAGCCTCTTTATCATTTTGCATGTGGACGGGCTGGGAGTGATGACTCATGCTGAGGTGTGGCTTGGAGGACAGACGAGTATGCGAAGCATTTTGCTTCATTTCCTGAAGTACTTTTATTGAAACAGGCTGACCCTTGCCTTTATTCCCTAGTGCAGCCCCTTCCACTGATCCGCAAATTCCCCGTTAGAGTGAGAGGAGTGCCTACACGGCGTGTCCCTCACACCCCCATCTTGCCCAACCCCACCCCCCACACCTGCCAACGCCCCATGCCCCCCACGAGTGTGCAGGCGGCAGGGAGATGTACGTGGCGGACAGTGAGAGCAGTGCGCTGAGGGCACTCAATCTGCAGACGGGGGGCTCCAGACTCATCGCTGGGGGCGACGCCAACTTCGCTGAGAACCTCTTCAAGGTCTCCCCCCTGCCTTGCCCTCTCATACCCTTGTTACTCGTTGGCCTCTCCACTGTGCTGCTGCCTCTCCTGCCACCTGTGCTGCCAATGCATTGTTGCATCTGCCCGGCTGTACCTGGCATGCTGTGTGCCGCCTCACCCTCACCCCTGGCCCCCTACCTCTCCCTCCCCCTGCTCCGCAGTTTGGTGACCGTGATGGCTCTGCATCCAGAGCTCTCCTGCAGCATCCACTTGGCACGCTCTCATTGGACGATGGCACGGTGCTTGTTGCTGACTCATACAACCACAAGGTGCACCAACCGTGTTGTTTTCTGCCCTTGCATAATCTTCCTCCTATGTGTTTATCATACCACTCCCTTCCATGTCCCAATGTAACCCCTCTGAACCCCGTATCCTGGTTTTGTTGCATGCCTGATGCCACACCGCATGCCATCATGCCCATCACACTCACGGCATGCCTGACGATGCACGGTGCAGATCAAGCTGGTGGATCCGGCTCGTGGCTCCGTGGTCACACTGGCAGGCACCGGCTCAGCTGGTTTCAGAGACGGGGCGGGATTACAGGCACAGGCAAGCAAAGCTATGATCGGGGTGGGGAAAATGGGGTATGGATCTCCTGGCTGGTGTGGAAAGCAATTACGTGCACGATCTTGAATGTTTCTTCCCACTAATTCGCCTCTCACATTCTCCATTTTATTTTTTTCTTGTGGCCTGCTTGCCTCTTGAACAACCACCTGTGCTTCACCCGTGCAGCTCTCAGAGCCAGCAGGCCTGGCACATGGTCCAGATGGTATGACCTCGCACTCGCCGTATAAGCACCACATGCACATGCCGCATTGCCGTTTATCCATACTCAAGTTTTCCAAATTCTGAGAATTCGTCCTCTTGTTTTCATCTTCATTTGTTTGTATTACATCAACTGTGCCTCCTATTGTTCCTGCTTCACATACATTATCAACCCAGAACATCCTTCATTCATGTTTCTTTCGTTCTTCTTCCACTCCCTTCCATTCTCTCCGCCCACCGCCCCCCTCCTCCTCCCACCAGGCACGGTACTCATAGCCGACACCAACAACAGCCTCATTCGCTGCCTGCACCTCCCATCCGCCTCCTCCCCCACCGCGCTGCTCTCCACGCTCGACCTCTCCTCCGTCCCCCCTCCTCCCGCGGCCTCTTCCTCGACTCAGCGGCGGCGCCTGAGGCGGCGGCAGAAGGCGGACGAGCAGGTGGTGGAGGTGGCGCCAGTGGCAGCCGCCAGGGGCACGCTGCAGCTCGCTCTCTCCATCCCAGCCGACTACCACTTCACTGCTGTGCGCCTCGCCCTGCTCCCGTTCCTGCCGTGCTCCCTCCTCACCCCTCTCGTGCTTTTGGTTGTCTTCCTGTACACCTTCTACCCCTGCTGCTACTGCAGTGTTTCTCGCTCATGTCCTCCGTGCCACCTCATAGACACCGGGCATTGGTGTGCAACCTGTCCTGTGCTGCGTGCGTGTGGTGCGTGCAGGGTGCCACGAGCAAGTACAGTGTGGAGCTGCCAGAAGCAGGGAGCGCAGTGACAGTCACACCACAGGCCGGTGACCTCACTCTATCCGGCTCACTCGCCCTTGCCTCACTGGACTTCACAGCGGCTGACAGCAGTGGCAGCTCGGTGGTGCAGGTCCACTGCAAGGTACCACCCACTGCTTGTACCGTATTTGCATTGCTCACCCCCCTGCCACCTTCCCTTGCCATAACCCTTGTCCTCATGCACCATCTTGTGCTGCTCCCTCTGCATCCCCACCAGGTGTACTACTGCCAGCAGGACGACCTGTGTCTGTACAAGGCTGTCAACTTCAAGATTCCATTCACTCCGTCTGCAGCAGAGGAAGCACAGGACGTGCAGCTGTTGTTTGACATCACCCCTGCCCCTGCAGGCAAGGCTCTGCTGCCAACAGCATGAACAGGGATGTGCAATACATTCTGCAAAATTACACCTATATTTACAATTTCAACTTTCAGGGCCCAAACATTCATGAAGTGTTCAGCAAGGTGTTATCCAATCACTAATAGTCACTCAGTACTGGCTGACTTGTGGTTTCACCTCACCAGTCCTCTCAACAGCCTGTTTGCTGGAGCTGCAGGAGGCATCATGCACTGCAGATGGAGCAGGCTCGTCCATGCTGAGGCATCGAGTATACTCCGCCAGGTAGAGGGAGCGGGTGAGGCCCACTAGCACCAGGGAAAGGCAGGAGGCCACCACACAGGCAGCAGCCATGACCAGGAAGGTGACTCTGAAGCAGTGGGCTCCATGGCACATCAACGCCGGGCCTCCTGAGGCTGGTGCAGGCGCAGGAGCAGGGCCGAGGGGGAAAGGCGGAGAGGAGGCAGCCTCGTGCTCTGCCTCGTAGTCGTAGAGGTAGCCAGCGATGCAGACGGAGAGGAGGTAGGAGCCGGTGGGGTTGGTGATGGTGAGCCAGTTGTAGAGCGTGCCGAAGTGCCGCAGCCCAAACACCTCCGACGCCACCGCGGGCATGAGGCCCCACTGCGAGCCATACGCCAGCCCAACAATGGCAGAGCCCACATACAACGAGCCAGGCAGGGCGGAGGCGAAGAGCAGGTGGCCCGCTGCCATGGCGAGCTGCGTGGCGGCCATGAAGGCGGGGCGCGGCACGGCCCGCTCGTGCAGGAAGTGCTCTGAGATGTAGCCCGCTCCCACGCGGCCGAGGAAGTTCCAGATGCTCATGAGCGACACAAAGATGCCCACTGCCTGCTGCTCGTAGCCCAGCGACCGCCCCACCTGCCCCAGGTTGTTGATGGCTGTGAGGCCCGACCCTGAGGCGAGCGTCATGGCTGCATAGATGAGCCAGAAGGGCACCGTCTGCACCGCCTGCCACAACGTGTGGTCGTCCCCCACCTGTGGAAAGGCTGTAGCCGCTCCTGAGTGATCGCTGCTGGGGTCATGCTGCTCTGACCGCGCTTCACTCTCTCTGGCTTTGAGCGGAGCAGCATGTGGTGCAGCAGCAGTCCGCACTCCACTGCTGCCACTGCCCACCAACGGCTGCCTTTCTTCTTCCTCCTGTGTGTGCCGCTCACCCATAACCCTCTGCCTCACCACTGCACGTCTATCGGTGCCTTCCTGCCCTGCTCCCTTGCCACTCAGCCGTACCTCTGTACCACTGCGGCCAAGGTGTGCTGCCTCTGGCCCTCCTGCTCTGACATTCCCCCCTTCTCCATGCGCCATTCCCTGACTGCCATTGCCCTCCTCCACGGCCTCCCCTGCTGCCAGCCTGGCGGAATGCACGGCGCGCTGCTGCTCCGCGACCACCTCTTGACTGATTGCGATGCGAGCAGGCCACGCCAGGATGGCAAGCGCGCCGAGCGAGATGAGCGCGCTGACGTGCCAGGTGACGTGCACGGAGTGGTCCAGCAGGCTGGCGGCGAGCAGGTAGAGCGCCAGGCCCACACCGGCTGCCAGCACCGCCATGAGGTTCGCGCGCTCAGAGGGCTCGCTGGCGGGCGGCAGCTGGTGAATGGCGGGCGTGGCGAGCACGGCGACGAGCGACGGCAGCCACGCCGCCATGAGCAGGAACGCATCGCGGTTGGGCGCGTAGAGCGCGAGGTAGAACTGCGTGAACAGCGCCCCACTCAAACCGATGAAGCCCTGCAGTGGGTGGGACGAGGATGGGAGGATGCGCAACAAGGGGGAGAGGGTGGGTGCGCCAGAGAGTCGACTGTGAATACGCGTGGAGAAAGCACAAGCGCGAAGGAGAACGCAGATTCGAAAATGAAGACGGTAATTCACGAACTGTAATTCCGTGTCGAAAAGCGAAAACAAGCGATACCTTGAGCAGGCCAACTACAGGGCCGCGGCTGTGCGGAAAGTTCTTGACGCAAGTGACGAGGCCCGCTGTGTTGAAGAAGGTGGCGCCGTTGGTGCCCACGCAGATGAACACCATCACCACCCACACTGGCGGCTGCCACGCGCCGCCCAGCCGTCCCGTCAGAACGAGCCACAAGAAGCCGTAGCCAATCGCGTTCAACACGGCCCCGATCGCCAAAACGACCCACGTGGGTGCGATATCGCCGACAAATCCTGACACAATTCCTACGTTTCCCCCAATATCCTTCGCCATGCCAACCATGTCGAGGATCTGCTGGTTGTAACCCAGCGTTTCCTTGAAGCTCTGTGAGTACAGGCCGAACATGTAGCTGACGCCTGAACACGCCTCCACCCATGACGCTGCCGCGAGACAGAACCATCGATTCGAGAAAAGCGCGAACCACCACCGCGGATGCAACGCGAAGCGCAAGAGTTTTGCGCCATTAAGTGGTGTGGTGTTGTCCCACGGTGAGCCTGACAAAACTGCCGCCATAAGGTGGCCATAACTCGGCCAACACCAGAGGAAGTGCTAGTGGTCAGTGCTGAGCCCAGGGGTATTTTGGTGGGGAGAGGGGCTGAAACGGGGGGACTGACGTGGAATTTTGGACCAATACCTCCTTGCCACGAGTCGAATCACGAAGCCGATTGCGAAACGTGAAACTTTCGTCAAATTTGTGCAACTGGTACAATCACCCACTCCCCCGAACAGCCCGTTCGAGTTTGTCCAACTGGTACAATCGAAGGCTGTTGAATTTCACTATCAAATTCCAGAATCATTTTCCTTGAACAGCCATTCTTGAATTTCTAGTTGTGGAATGGCTACCATGCAAACAGACAAGGCATTTCGCGTGAATCTGAATGCTGCATCTGGGTCGTTAGCAGCTCTCTTGCTGGCAACTTCCACCGTCCTTGTTAGCATTCTTGCTGCCAGGTTCCCGTCTCGCACTGATTACTATGCACAGCAAATGACATGCCAGCTTTACTACAATCAGGGAGCTCCTAAGTGAGTGTTAGCAAGCTTGAATATTCCGTACAAAGTAACATTTTGATTAACGTTCTGTCCCTTCTTTATCAGTGAAATCGAGTGCCTCAGCCGCTGGTGTGCGAATGCTGCAAACTGGCCATTTGCTCGGTGCAATGTTACTCAAGGATTGAAGGATGAAGGATATGACCCGTATTATAATCGCGCTTACCTTTCTGAGGGCTTCCCCTTTGACAAGAGCAGCATGTCGCTTTCCTGGGCTTCGATGTCTCTAATCGCTATAACCCTTGTGTTAGAGGTAAGCAGAGTCGTTCGGGGACAGCTGGACCACCTGTATGCTCCCTATGTTGCTAATGAAAGTACAACATTGCAGGTCATAACTCAATTACTTGACATGATCAAGCCGAAGAAGAAAAATCTATCTTACTCAAAACGATATCGCGTGTTCCTGCGTGGCTGTTGTGCGACGTCATGGTTTGTGACCTATATTGCATTTTAACTGTGTGCAAGGATACCCAAGCACATTATGCTCCATGTCTCAATGCAGGATAAGCAGTGCAGTCGCAGACGCTTTGCTCATATTCGGATCTTCAAAAGCATCAGAAACGTGGGGGTTATACAACACAACCGAAGGGTTGTGGATTGCCGCTGCTGTCATCAGCGGTCTTGCATTTCTGTCGTCTTCCTTATTCCACTATCTGACGCATCGGCACCTGCGGTACATTAAGACTACTCCAATATCAGGTATGGGGAACTTTACCCTGTTTTTTTAAGCAGTGATGGATCATGTAGCTTATGCGTGTAAGCCCCAACAGGAAACCTGGATACTCGGCAGGAAGGACTGGTCTCGCAGCATGCGAAACAGCCCATGGACCAGCTTGCGTTGTCAAGAGATCAGATGGCAATGGGTGTTACTGGCTCAGCTCCCGACTCTCGCATATCATCAGACGTAACCCCAATCGCGGAAGCGTCAATGTCTGCTAGCTTTGTGCATACTGCAACAGGGCACAGAGTATCGTCGGATCCGTCAGAGCAGAAAATTAAGTCAAAGGGAACCGAATTTACTTTGGAGGAGCTTCAACAGGCAACGTTAAATTTCTCTCCCAAAAATCATCTTGGCCGGGGTGGCTTCGGTGAAGTCTACAAAGGTGTGCTGGCAGGCGGTCAAATTGTTGCTGTGAAGAGAATTCACAGGCATAAAATGGTGCATGGAAGAGACGAGTTCAAGTCAGAGGTACGTCGGAACAATGAACAAGTAAGTTATTCTCGCATCTTCTCTGTCCGCTAGCCTATAAAAAATTGTAATGGTTTCAGGTCGAAATTCTTAGCAGAGTTCATCACCGGAATCTTGTGAGGATACTGGGGTACCACATTGGGGAGACAGAAGAACTTATTGTGTTTGAGTTTATGGCTAATGGATCACTCGACCACCACCTGCATGGTCAGTAAACAGTGTGTTGTTGTCATGCAATACGTTTACACTAACTAGCGTATTTACAGGCAATGCTTGCACATCACCAATTGGCTGGGAAAGAAGGCTTCAGATGGCAATTGATGCGGCAAAGGGTCTGGTAGGTACCTGTATTCGCTCTTTGATGGAGCACAGCTTGCAACCCTATCGTTTTTACGAGAGCATTTCTCTCGGCTTCTATCTTGCTGATTGTGACCTTTCCTGGTCATGCTGTGTCGTTCAGGCATATCTTCACCATGATTGCTATCCGAAAGTGGTGCATCGTGACATCAAAGCTTCTAATATTCTTCTTGATGCAAACATGAATGCTCAGGTTTGTGCAATGGCAGTTCTCATCCACTGGCAGCACTTGTTCCAACTGTTACATTGTTTTTTATCGTACAGGTTGGTGACTTTGGCCTGGCACGCTTGTTGCAAGATGATTCTGAACATGTCACTACGAGAGTCATGGGCACCATAGGATACTTGGCCCCTGACTACGCATTTTCAGGGCAATTGACGGAAAAGAGTGATGTTTACAGGTAACACTCAACAGTCGGATTTCATTGATAACTGCACGTTGCCTCTAAGCTGCTCTGTGCCACGCAGTTTTGGTGTTCTACTGCTGGAGCTCCTTACAGGGAGACAGCCCGTGGATGTCACAGCTTCGACTTTTCAAGGCCAAAGTCTTGTAGAATGGGTATGTAATGTTGTCACGAAGGTGAAAATACAGATCCCAAATCACAGCACTGGTCTCAAACAGTTGAAAGTTGTCATTGAATAACTTGGTTGGCTCGACGGGCATGACTCACGTGGACCCATTTGGGATTCGGCGTCAACTTGATTGCGAGTCCTGCTAACTATATTTTTTTTTGCCGTCCTTCGTTGTGTTGTGCATGTAGGCGTGGCAACAGACAATTGGAGCAGAGACCATAAGAGAGATTCTGGATCCACAACTGAACAATGTGTACAACGCTGATGAGGCTCTGTGCATGTGGCGTGTTGCACTGGACTGTGTAAATCACATAGCAAAGAAACGACCAACAATGGATAAGGTATGTTCATGTATTTCAGAGGGGCTGGCTGATGTGCATACATAACCGTGAATCCTTGATGCAGGTTGCCAAGCTACTCCAAGATGCGAGAAAAGAGGAAGACATGGTGCATGGAACAGATTCAGCATCAGTTACTGGTAGGTCTGGAGGCGCTGTTGAAATAGCTGTCAGCAGCAGTCTGCCTGTATCATTCTCTGGACCGTTGAGCGGTGGAGAGGAGTCTACACTCTCTTCAACATTTCAGAATGTTGCCAAAAGCCCTTCCATACGGCATGGTGACTCAAGCCCGAGTATGCATGATGAGCCTCAAGTTGCAGGTGAGGTTGAGTGGAGCCACCGGCTGGACATGCTGAAGCAAGCAAATGCAGCCATTAGTCCTACCACGGAGTGGCCGCGTGTGGAGGTGCAGAGTGGTATTGTCTCTGAGAATGAGACTGTTGAGTGGAGCAGTCGATTGGAGAGGCTGAGAAAAGAGGCTCACTAGTGCGTGGATCGTGAATACCCCACTTCATTCAGACTGGCTAAGGGCGTGTTCCTATGGCCCCCTATCAGAGCTGCCTCATATCAGCTAGAGAATCTATTGAAGTCAACGTTTTAAAACACCTCTTGTCAGCACAATACCGAATCTGCGCACGAATGAGAACACTCGCATGGCCTCGCACGGTCGTGCCCACCCACCAGATCACGGCAAGAGTAGACGCGCCAACTGTACAACGGCTTTAGATCTGAATAATTTCCATGGACTTTGTCTTGTCCATATGGTCACTGCAACTTCCATGCTATGTACCCCATCAGCATAGCTGGAAAACTATTCACCAGTACAAATCCGCAGTGGGTGTAGCATGTGCGCCACAGTTCAAACCCAATCGATTGGAAGATTGGACTTCCAAGAAATAGTACCGTACCGCTGAGCCTACCGTACCGCTGGCACAATCTCTGATGCCAGCACCTGTGCACAATACGGTAGAGTTGGGTTTCTGTCACCACAACTACAAGCTTCAAGCACACTAACCTGCCTAAAGCTTGCTTTTTTCCCCTACGGTATTAGCACAAGAACACTTTTGTTTTTCCCCTACGGTAATAGCACTTCCAAATTGGAAGCTCCAATCAGCGCACTTGCACAATCCCTGCTGCAACCAGCTTTTGGATCTTCGCCATGACCATGGGGTTCTTCTGGTGCTGCATGGCTGCCTGAGGGTTCTCCTGGAAGTCTGTGAGCACCTGACGCATGACTGGGTCCGTGAGAATGGACTGGATCTCAGGATCCTGCATCGCTTTGGCTTGCCTCTCTTTAAGCTCCTCTGGCGCAATGTCCCCCCTGTTGGCCTTGCTGATCTGCTGCACACAGCTGATGAGGACAGCCACAAACACCAATACAGCGACGGATGAGAAAAAGGCTTCGATCCAAAGCACAATAGGTTTCTCTTCAACTCAGTGGCTCACCTCCTAATGCCATCCAACAGCTCCTGGTTTCCCGGTTCCACCTTGAGGCCCTGCTGGTAGGTCTCCATGGCGTGGTCATACTCCTTCATGAAATACTCTGCTGCGCCCTTCCTCAAGTACCCCTTCACAAAAGACTCGTCCAACGCAATGCACTTCTCCGCATCCTTCTTTGCCTCCGGCATGGCACCCAACTTGATGTAGCACGCTGCTCGGTTGCAGTACGACTGATGGTGGAATGGCAAAGGCGGTTCAGCAAAGGTGTGTCAAAATCGAAGTGCAGGGAGGGACAGGGAAATAGACAAGTCAGAATGCCATCAGATACGGTAAGTAGAAAGGAGGAACCGGACAAGGCACAAAACGAATAGCAGTAAGACGACAGCATATGAATGCACACCTTGACGTCTTTAGGATTCCTCTTAATGGCCTCATTGTAGTGTTTGACTGCCTCAGGGAACTTCTGCTGCTTGAACTCCTCGTTGCCTGGACCAGGGAAGGGTGGCACAGAACGGATCAGGTTCAATCAACCAGGAGGAGCATGCAGAGCAGTGAGGAGCCCGAAGAGCACTGAAGAACATGAAGAGAGGTGAGGGGAATGAAGAGCATCAAACACACATGCACCAAGAACACCTGTCCTTGACACCAATTTCGTTGTTTTCGAAATAAGCAGCATAAGAGGTAGTACCCTTCTCTCTTTCCTGGTCGGCAATGACTGGATCGTAGTACTCCTGCTGTTCCAGCTCCTTCCTTGCCTTCTCTGCCTCGTTGAGCTTCTTCAGTGTGTCGGGATTGCGATGCTCCGTAAGGGCCTGCCCTCATGAGAAAAGGGAAATGCATGCATATATTCAGGCAGACGACCAATGGATGATGATGAGGCATAAATGACCGGCAAGAGGAGATAATGGTTGCCCAAGCAGGAAGCAACGGAATCAGATGAGGCAGGTGCAAGCAATGGTGTGACACAGGGGTGAGGGGGATGGGGGCCAGCAATGGTGTGACCTTATTGAAGGCAGCAATGGCGGGCTCGTAGTCCTGGGCTGTCTTGGCCTGCTTCACCAGTGCTGTCCCCTTGCGCGTGAGCGCCCTCGCCACCACCTTAAAGTCCGCATGCACCTCCCGCCCCCGCTCCACCGCCCTGTCACAGTCTGCTATGCACTCCGCGTACTGGAGGCAAGGGAGGAGCGCGGGAGTGAGGAGGGAGCAGCGCGGCAAGCAATGTTTGATTTGAAAGAACGTGAAGAGCGAAAAACAGACTCTCACATTCCCCTTCAGACTCTACCACACTCCTTCACATCCACATTCCCCGTGTCCGCAGCGCCTCACCTTGCCCATTTCAAGGAACACAGCGGCGCGGTTGGTGAGGAAGGTGACGTCAGAGTCGTCCAGCTCGACGGCCTTGCTGTAGTGCTCCACGGCGCTCTCAAACTCCTTGCGCTTGTACGCCGCGTTGCCCGCCTCCTTCTCCCTCACCGCCTCCTGCCTCCTCGCCTTCGCCTCCCTCTCCTCGTCTGTCAGCGCCTCCTCCATCGCCTCCGCACCTCCCGCTTCCTTCTCCTTCTCCTTCTCCTCTTTACCCGATCTGCTCTCCCCCTTGCCGCCCTCCTCCCCCCTGCCCTCGGCGGCGAACGCGGCGGCCTCGTCCGCGGATCCGGCGGAGCGGATGCTGATGCCCAGCGCGGCGCCCAGCACGTCCATCATGCGCGGGTCGCTCAGGTGCGCGTTCAGCAGCGCGGGGTTGCTCTGCACGGCGCTCACCGTCGCGCGGAACGCGGGGTCGCTCAGGTGCTGCCGCGCGCGTGGGTCCGCGTGCAGCCGCGCCCAGAAGTCGGGACCCTGCGGGCACGGGGGTGTGAGCGGGAGAGTCAGCTATGGTGCACGCGCATCCCAGCCCGCCTTCCTCTTCCAATTCTCCTCTGCACTCACCTGAAACGCCTTTGCCAGCGGATTCCCCCCCTCGCCGCCCGCCTCGTCAGCGGCCTGCGCGGCCTTGGCGTCCGCCAGCCCCGCCTGCAGCACGGCGCTGCTGGGCTCCAGCGCCAGCCCGCGCTCGAACGCCTCCACGGCGCGCGCGTACTGGCGCAGCCCGTGCAGCGCGGCGCCCAGGCGGCTGTAGCCCTTGGGCCAGTCGGCGCGCAGCTCCACCGTGCGCTCCGCGTCCGCCAGCGCGTCGCCGTAGCGGTGCAGACTCGCGTGCGCCGCCGACCGGTTGCTGCGATCAGGGGGACGACGAGAGGCGAGACAGGTGACTTTAGCAGGGGGGAGAAGGCAGAGGAAATGACTGACGGGGTTGACGCTGAGGGCCCGGCAGCTACCGAGGACGACTGGCAGAACCAACGACGACCGTGAACGTTGCTATGCGCGCGGTCGCTTCGCAGATCACACGAACACGAACAGAATACCGCGAGATGCGGCGCTAGCAGGTGAGGTGAGCGCGTGAGTGGCGAAGGGGCGGGGAGGACGCACCTGTAGAGCACGTGGTTGTCGGGCGCACCTGTAGAGCACGTGGTTGTCGGGCGCACCTGTAGAGCACGTGGTTGTCGGGCGCACCTGTAGAGCACGTGGTTGTCGGGCGCACCTGTAGAGCACGTGGTTGTCGGGCGCGAGCTTGATGGCGTCCGTGAAGTGCTCCACGGCTTCCTCAAACCTCCCCGCCGAAAACGCGGCGTTGCCTCTCGCCTTCGCTTCGTCAGCCATGCTTTCACCTTACCCCTCGACTAATTAAGTTCGTGATGACAAGTGTTGGGAGAAAACGCAGAAATGGAGCGGAGCCTGTAGCTAGATCGAGCTATGGATCCGAAGGGCAGCGCTGATCGGCAAAACCAAACGAACAGAAAGTGGAAGAACCCAGATGGAGGCGCGCCTTCAGAAGAACCCATCTCTCGAACTTTCTGAATCGCATCCTCGATATTCGCCACCTATTTCCTCACATGCACACAACAAGTTTAGGATGAGCATCCTACATCAAAACTATCTAGCTAGCAAATACTGGTACATTTAAGTTGGGCTGACTTCAAGACTCAAGTCAAGATGTAAACCCTAAACCTAATCCTAGAATATCTAGGATTGTGGCAAACATGATCGTGCTTGGCAGTCCAGGATCCGAGCAACATTGCTTCACATTTTATGCCCGGAACAGGCGCTTCCAACCCCAAAACGCGGAAGGATCCGCACAGGTGCACGAAGTGCAGCGGGCGCTCTTCATTCGCGAGCGTCGATGACCGATGATGCTCGCAACCCTCCCACGCCCTTGCTGGCTTGCCAATAGGCCCAGACAAGCGCAGCCACGTGACCAGGCGGAAAAAAAACACTCGGAACGAGCGCTTCCAGCCCCAAAACGCGGAAGGATCCGCACATGTGCAGGAAGTGCAGCAGGCGCTCATCATTCGCGAGCGCCGATGACCGATGATGATTGCAACCCTCCCACGCCCTTGCTGGCTTGGCAATAGGCCCAGACAAGCGCAGCCAGGTGACCCGGTAGAAGAAAAACGCTCCGAACGAGCGCTTCCAACCCCAAAACGCGGAAGGATCCGCAAATGTGCAGGAAGTGCAGCAGGCGCTCTTCATTCGCGAGTGCTGATGACCAATGATGCTCGCAACCCTCCCATGCCCTTGCTGGATTGGCAATAGGCCCAGACATATGCAGCCAGAAGACCCGGTAGAAGAAAAACACTCAGACGAGCGCTTCCAGCCCCAAAACGCGGAAGGATCCGCTTGTTCTTGAAATTTTGCACACGCTAGACCCTTGTTCTTGCTATTTTGCACACGCTAGGCCCTTGTTCTTCCAATTTTGCACACGCTAGGCCCTTGTTCTTGCTATATTGCACACGCTAGGCCCTTGTTCTTGCAATTTTGCACTCGCTAGGCCCTTGTTCTTGCAATTTTGCACACGCTAGGCCTTTGTTCTTGCAATTTTGCGCACGCTAGGCCCTTGTTCTTGCAATTTTGCATACGCTAGGCCCTTGTTCTTGCAATGTTGCACACGCTAGGCCCTTGTTCTTGCAATTTTGCACACGCTAGGCCCTTGTTCTTGCAATTTTGCACACGCTAGGCCCTTGTTCTTGCTATTTTGCACACGCTAGGCCCTTGTTCTTGCTATTCTGCACACGCTTGGCCCATGTTCTTGAAATTTTGCACACGCTAGGCCCTTGTTCTTCCAATTTTGCACACGCTAGGCCCTGTTCTTGCTATTTTGCACACGCTTGGCCCTTGTTCTTGAAATTTTGCACTCGCTAGGCCCTTGTTCTTGCTATTGTGCACACGCTAGGCCCTTGTTTCTTGAAATTTTGCACACACTAGGCCCTTGTTCTTGCTATTTTGCACACGCTAGGCCCTTGTTCTTGAAATTTTGCACACGCTAGGCCCTTGTTCTTCCAATTTTGCACACGCTAGGCCCTTGTTCTTCCAATTTTGCACACGCTAGGCCCTTGTTCTTGCAATTTTGCACACGCTAGGCCCTTGTTCTTGAAATTTTGCACACGCTAGGCCCTTGTTCTTGCTATTTTGCACACGCTAGGCCCCTGTTCTTCCAATTTTGCACAAGCTAGGCCCTTGTTCTTGCAATTTTGCACACGCTATGCCCTTGTTCTTGCTATTTTGCACACGCTAGGCCCTTGTTCTTGCAATTTTGCACACGCTAGGCTCTTGTTCTTGAAATTTTGCACACGCTAGGCCCTTGTTCTTGCAATTTTGCACAAGCTAGGCCCTTGTTCTTGAAATTTTGCACACGCTAGGCCCTTGTTCTTGCTATTTTGCACACGCTAGGCCCTTGTTCTTCCAATTTTGTACACGCTAGGCCCTTGTTCTTGCTATTTTGCACACGCTAGGCCCTTGTTCTTGCTATTTTGCACACGCTAGGCCCTTGTTCTTGCAATTTTGCACACGCTAGGCCTTTGTTCTTGCAATTTTGCGCACGCTAGGCCCTTGTTCTTGCACTTTTGCACACGCTAGGCCCTTGTTCTTGCTATTTTGCACACGCTAGGCCCTTGTTCTTGCTATTTTGCACACGCTAGGCCCTTGTTCTTCCAATTTTGCACACGCTAGGCCCTTGTTCTTCCAATTTTGCACACGCTAGGCCCTTGTTCTTGAAATTTTGCACACGCTAGGCCCTTGTTCTTGCTATTTCGCACACGCTAGGCCCTTGTTCTTCCAGTTTTGCACACGCTAGGCCCTTGTTCTTGCAATTTTGCACACGCTAGGCCCTTGTTCTTGCTATTTCGCACACGCTAGGCCCTTTGTTCTTCCAATTTTGCACACGCTAGGCCCTTGTTCTTGCTATTTTGCACACGCTAGGCCCTTGTTCTTGCTATTTTGCACACGCTAGGCCCTTGTTCTTGCAATTTTGCACACGCTAGGCCCTTGTTCTTGCAATTTTGCACACGCTAGGCCCTTGTTCTTGCAATTTTGCACACGCTAGGCCCTTGTTCTTGCTATTTTGCACACGCTAGGCCCTTGTTCTTGAAATTTTGCACACGCTAGGCCCTTGTTCTTGCTATTTTGCACACGCTAGGCCCTTGTTCTTCCAATTTTGCACACGCTAGGCCCTTGTTCGTGCTAATTTGCACACGCTAGGCCCTTGTTCTTGAAATTTTGCACACGCTAGGCCCTTGTTCTTGCTATTTTGCACACGCTAGGCCCTTGTTCTTCCAATTTTGCACACGCTAGGCCCTTGTTCTTGCTATATTGCACACGCTAGGCCCTTGTTCTTGCAATTTTGCACTCGCTAGGCACTTGTTCTTGCAATTTTGCACACGCTAGGCCTTTGTTCTTGCAATTTTGCGCACGCTAGGCCCTTGTTCTTGCAATTTTGCACACGCTAGGCCCTTGTTCTTGCAATGTTGCACACGCTAGGCCCTTGTTCTTGCAATTTTGCACACGCTAGGCCCTTGTTCTTGCTATTTTGCACACGCTAGGCCCTTGTTCTTGCTATTTTGCACACGCTAGGCCCTTGTTCTTGAGATTTTGCACACGCTAGGCCCTTGTTCTTGCTATTTTGCACACGCTAGGCCCTTGTTCTTGCAATTTTGCACACGCTAGGCCCTTGTTCTTGCTATTTTGCACACGCTAGGCCCTTGTTCTTCCAATTTTGCACACGCTAGGCCCTTGTTTCTTGAAATTTTGCACACGCTAGGCCCTTGTTCTTGCTATTTTGCACACGCTAGGCCCTTGTTCTTCCAATTTTGCACACGCTAGGCCCTTGTTCTTGCAATTTTGCACACGCTAGGCCCTTGTTCTTGCTATTTTGCACACGCTAGGCCCTTGTTCTTGCAATTTTGCACACGCTAGGCCCTTGTTCTTGCAATTTTGCACACGCTAGGCCCTTGTTCTAGCTATTTTGCACACGCTAGGCCCTTGTTCTTGCAATTTTGCACACGCTAGGCCCTTGTTCTTGCTATTTTGCACACGCTAGGCCCTTGTTCTTGCTATTTTGCACACGCTAGGCCCTTGTTCTTGCTATTTTGCACACGCTAGGCCCTTGTTCTTGCAATTTTGCACACGCTAGGCCCTCTGTTCTTGCAATTTTGCACACGCTAGGCCCTTGTTCTTGAAATTTTGCACACGCTAGGCCCTTGTTCTTGCTATTTTGCACACGCTAGGCCCTTGTTCTTGAGATTTTGCACACGCTAGGCCCTTGTTCTTGCTATTTTGCACACGCTAGGCCCTTGTTCTTCCAATTTTGCACACGCTAGGCCCTTGTTCTTGCTAATTTGCACACGCTAGGCCCTTGTTCTTCCAATTTTGCACACGCTAGGCCCTTGTTCTTGCTATTTTGCACACGCTAGGCCCTTGTTCTTGAAATTTTGCACACGCTAGGCCCTTGTTCTTGCTATTTTGCACACGCTAGGCCCCTGTTCTTCCAATTTTGCACAAGCTAGGCCCTTGTTCTTGCAATTTTGCACACGCTATGCCCTTGTTCTTGCTATTTTGCACACGCTAGGCCCTTGTTCTTGCAATTTTGCACACGCTAGGCTCTTGTTCTTGAAATTTTGCACACGCTAGGCCCTTGTTCTTGCAATTTTGCACAAGCTAGGCCCTTGTTCTTGAAATTTTGCACACGCTAGGCCCTTGTTCTTGCTATTTTGCACACGCTAGGCCCTTGTTCTTCCAATTTTGTACACGCTAGGCCCTTGTTCTTGCTATTTTGCACACGCTAGGCCCTTGTTCTTGCTATTTTGCACACGCTAGGCCCTTGTTCTTGCAATTTTGCACACGCTAGGCCTTTGTTCTTGCAATTTTGCGCACGCTAGGCCCTTGTTCTTGCACTTTTGCACACGCTAGGCCCTTGTTCTTGCTATTTTGCACACGCTAGGCCCTTGTTCTTGCTATTTTGCACACGCTAGGCCCTTGTTCTTCCAATTTTGCACACGCTAGGCCCTTGTTCTTCCAATTTTGCACACGCTAGGCCCTTGTTCTTGAAATTTTGCACACGCTAGGCCCTTGTTCTTGCTATTTCGCACACGCTAGGCCCTTGTTCTTCCAGTTTTGCACACGCTAGGCCCTTGTTCTTGCAATTTTGCACACGCTAGGCCCTTGTTCTTGCTATTTCGCACACGCTAGGCCCTTTGTTCTTCCAATTTTGCACACGCTAGGCCCTTGTTCTTGCTATTTTGCACACGCTAGGCCCTTGTTCTTGCTATTTTGCACACGCTAGGCCCTTGTTCTTGCAATTTTGCACACGCTAGGCCCTTGTTCTTGCA